AAAAGCTTAAACTCCAGGATGAAATTGCTCGTACAGGCTGAGCTCACAGCAGTGCCTGCAAGTCACAGCCTTGCCACCAGGGGGCGAGCGGGAATCTGTGCGCACACACTCTAGAGCTCACTGAAAAAGGCACCCCCTGAGGAATGCGCAGGTGCAGCGAACGCAGGGCTTACCCGACCGAGGGACAAATCCAAGGGCAGGGGGCCGTGCAGAAGTGCTCAGTTACCTGCCACACTGCGAGCTGGGCCACGTGGGGGCGGGACAGGAAGTCCTCTGTAGACTGCAGCTGTCGGGAAAACACAGTCATCAGGAACCAAAACCCCCAGTCCGGAAAACCGGTTCGCAAAGGCAGCAGAGAGGGAGAAGGCGTTTATGACTGAGCAGGCATGAGACCCGAATGTGACGTGCGTCCCAAGGACGCCCCGTGGATGAGCAGCTCACCCCGCTTTCTAAGGGATTTATACACATTCCAAAGACAGGAGGGACTACTTCCGTTTCAAGTTTTCTAAAAGTAATGCTCTAAAAATAGGAGGCAGGGACCTGTCTTCCCTTGTCCTCACACAGCCTCATCATCTGTAAAACAGAAGTGAGAGCTGATGTAGGACCGCGGGGAAGTGCCCAGCAATGGGACTGAGTGGGGGCGCCGTCACCGCCTCCAGCTGCCCAGGGTCTCTCCCTAGCCTGACAACAGACTCCACGCTCTGTCACTGAGGCGCCCCTCGGCCAGGTGTCTCCCTGGCGGTCAGCTTCTGAGAGAGTCTACGCCTGCGTCCTCACTTCCCCTCCGCCTCTGAAGCTTAGCGCCCCACCCCCATCCCACCCCACCCTCCCCCGACACACACCTGCTTCCTCCCGCCTGGACACTAGGAGGCAACATTCTGTCTCCCTCCACCTCTTGAAAGCTTATATTTAGGCTCATGCTAGTCGCACGTTTCTCTGCATAAATCTGAATTCACCCAAGAAGACTGTAGGATTGGGAGCAGACAAGGGAGGGAGGAGACCCCCAGCAGAGGAGAGAGGGCGCAGTGACCACTTGAGGCACTTAGGGAAATATGGGTCCCAGGGCCTCCCTTCAGAGTCTGATTCTAAGAAAACAGATCTGTTTTCTTTGCATTTTTTATTTGAGAGACAGAGATCTTCCATCTTCTGGTTATTCCCCTAAATGCCTGCAACAGCCAGATCTGGGCCAGGCTGAGACCAGGGTTCTGGAACTCCATCCAGATCTCCTGTGTGGGTGGCAGGAAATCACTTGCTGCCTCCCAGAGTTCCCAAAATGTGCTCAGGGACCAGAAGCAACCCCCTCACTGAGGGCTTCTCACACTTGCACCTTCTAGAATCTCTGACCCAGGAACTCCCAGGTGAGCCCCCGTGTGGACCCTGATGCCACCACTGAAGTCTCTGCCCAGAGGCTCCTGAGTTTGAATGGGAACAGCCAAATGGCCTGAAGTTTTCAACACCACAAAACCAGGATGCACAATACACTAAAGGAAAGGGGGTGGGTGGAGAGACAGAGAGCAGGTGCCAAAACACTGACCTTCCTGGGCCCTTCAATGTTCCAGGGGAGTTCAGGACAGGTTATTTCAAATCAGGGGTGTCTAGGGGGAAAAACTGGCACATCCATTTGCTGGAATGCACAAAAGCACAAGCAACAATTCTGTTAGGACCACCAGACAGCTAAGATACAGAGACCAAAACAAGCAAAAAGTCACTCACAAGAAGCAGAAATCATACAGAGGCAAATATATATATATATATATATATATATATATTAGATTTTAAAAAATCATTAATATCCCCGGAGAAAGAAGAGCCAAAATATTGCAGTAATAACAGGATGTTATTTTAAAGTGAATATTGAGAGAACAAAACTCTTAGAATTAATCGAAACTATGACAGCATAGATGAAAAACTCAATAAAAGGAATAAAGATAAAATTAAGAAAGTTTCTCAAAAAGTAGAGCAAAACGCCAAAATAGGAAAGAAAAGATAAGAAATTTAGAAGAGCAATTTGGGAGGTCTAACATCCGAGTAAAACAAGGCCTACAAAAAATGAGAACAATCTCTCTAAGCCTGCATCAAGACTGTTGGTTTGCTGTCGCTGCTGGCTTCAAACAGGACCCAAGAGGAATATCTTCTGGGAGCCAGTGCTGTGGCGTTGTAGGTAAAGCCGCCTCCTGCGATGCCGGCATGCCTTATGGGTGTTAGTTTGGGTCCCAGCTGCTCCACTTCCAATCCAGCTCCCTGGTAATGGCCTGGGGAAAACAGCAGGAGATGGTCCAAGTACTTGGGCTCCTCCCATCCATACAGAAGACCCAGAAAAAGCTCCTGGTTCCTGACTGCAGCTTGGCCCAGCCCTGGCTATTGCAGCCATCTGGGGAGTAAACCAGCAGATGGAAGAGCTCTCTCCGTCTCACCCTCTCCTCTCTCTAACTCTGACTTTCAAATAAATTAATTAATTTTTTAAAAAGAAGGGATGTCTTCCATTTTGTCTGTTGGCTGGTCAATATCCCAGTGGGAATGGCCAACTCAACTGGAAGAGATATAGTCTTCAATTAATATGAAAAGAACACACAGATATCAAAAAAGAAATCATTGATGAAATAATTCAAGAAAACATCATCTAATTTGGACTTGAGTTTCCAGATTGAAATTGTACATCAAGGGCCTGACACATTTTTATGACATTTCAGGACATCCAGGACAATGTGATAATCCAGAGGGAAAAACAAGGGTTTCTTACAAAAGACCATAAGTGAAAATGATTTTATGTTATAATCACACAGGGAGCTAGAAGCAATGAAGTTATTCCTTTGTGGTGGAATGAGAAGGCCATGCCAAGATGGCCGCTGGCAAGCCAGCATCAGTTACTCAGGAGTGGCTTCGGAAACCCCCTGGGAAACCACCTGCCAGCAGAGCCTGCCTGGCAACAGGCTGTGATTAGTTAGGGCATAACCGTCCCTTGACCAGATTGACTGCCTTGGCTATATAAGCTGCTGTACCAACTGAAATAAACGAGTCTGTAGGCTGCTCCCTGGTTTTCATCCAACTTCTGGGGTCTGTGTGGTGACTCTGCACCTCTTGCCCCCACCACACTCCTCCTCTCAGAACGAATCCACAGCAACATTCCTTCCTAACTTTTGAGGGGAAATTATTTGCAATGTAGAATTCTCTCTCTCTCAGGGCTGGCACTGTGGCATAGTAGGATAAGCCTCCACCTGCAGTGCCAGCATCCCATATGGGCACCAGTTCAAGTCTCAGCTGCTCCTCCTCCAATCCAGCTCTCTACTAATGGCCTGGGAAAGCAGTAGAAGATGGCCCAAATACCTGGCTCCTGTACCTGCATGGGAGCCCTGGAAGAAGCTCCTGCCTTCAGATCAGCCCAGCTCTGAATATTGTGGCCATTTGGGGAATGACCCCTCACTGTGTGTAACTCTGTCTCTCAAATAAGTAAAAATAAAATCTTAAAAAAAATTCTCTCAAACCTGAAGGTAGAAAAAAAGACATTTTCAGACAAAATGTTTTAAAAATTGGTTCCTATGTCCCTTTTTCCAGGAAGCTGTTAGAGGATATGACAAACCAAGAAGAAGAAAAAATCCAAGTGGAAGGCATTGGATAACAGGAGGTTTGTGTAGAAGAGATGGGGGGGGGGTTCCCAGGGTGACGTGGATTTCCTGGGGGCAGAGGGCAGCCAGCTCCCATCTGAGCAAGCAGAAGGCTTTAGGAGGGATTTCTCCAGGAAGTTGAAATTGATAGAGCACCTAGAATCTCAGCATCTCAGTAGGAGATTTAAGCTATGGGCAGAGTTTGGATGTCACTAGATAGGAGTACCTGGGAAACAAGAAAGGGAAGACAAACAGAAGGGAAATTCTTCATGAAAGGAAAAATATCAGTAGCTGCATAGAGCTTACAGAGAACTGTGATGCAACTCACTTGGGAAGATGCAAACAGGACTTGTGCCTGTTCTGGAGGGAGGGGACTCAAAGTCCTTATTCTCAAGGTACATCCATGAGCAATGCCTAAAACTGACAATGGTCAGTAACACGACAGACACACGCCCAAATACATATTGCATTGTCCCATTTATATTCAGTGTCCAGAACTGGCAAATCCATAGAAACAGAGAATAGATCGGTGGTTGCCCAGAGCCAGCAGGAGTGGGATGGGATGCGATGGGACAGCAGGGAGAATGGATGCTAAAGGCGGAAATCATGAAAATGCACTAGCAGTCACTGACAGGCACACGTCCAAGGGTGAACTGCATGGCGTGTGAATTATATCACAATGAACCCAGTTTATAAAAAGATCTAAGGCGCTGGCGTGTGGGGGCACAGTGGGTTAAGTCTTAGACTGCCATGCTGGCATCTCAAATGGGTGCAGGTTCGAGTCCTGGCTGCTCCACTTCCCATGCAGCTCTCTGCTATGGCCTGGGAAGGCAGTGGAAGGTGGCCCAAGTGCCTGGGCCCCTGCACCTGCATGGGAGACCTGGAGGAAGCTCCTGGCTCCTGGCTTTGGCCTGGCCCTGTCACGGCTGTTGTTGCCATTTGGGGAGAGAACCAGTAGATGGAATCAATCAATCAATCCCTCCTCCTCTCCTCCCCCCTCCTCCTCCTCCCTTCCTCTCTCTAACTCTGCCTTTTAAATAAATGTTTTACAAAGATCTCTGATACCAAAATAAGCAACAAAAAGTCGAAAGCAGCGTCCGGGGAGGGGAGCGGGGCTGCAGCTCTGAAGTTTAAAAGCACATCTTACAGAACAACTTGATTTCTTTAATCCGTCTGAACTTCTTCGAACAACGCATGGCTATTCAGAGTACTCCCAAGTAACGGGCCTGGTGGGCCGCTGACGGAGGGGACAGGCCGCTTGGGGGTCAGCCAGCGCTGGACGTCCAGGGCTGGGGTCACGGTCCCCGGGGCGGGGGCAGGGCTGGCAACCCCACGGCCTGGGGCCACCGGAAGGTCCCGCTGTCAGGTAGGGGGTGGGAGGTCCGGGGCCCCGGAGACCACCCCCCAGCTCCCCTCCGACATGGGCTGGCGGCCTTCAAATGTCGCCGATGCCCTCTTGTCCCTCAGAGGCCGAACCCAGACCCGGCACTGGCCCCAGCGACGCTGAGAGCGCCCCGGAGCCCGCCGATTCCCTCGCGGGTGCAGCGGGCGCGGCTCTGGCGCCCCCTGCAGGCCGGGGAGCGCACAGGCCCAGCTCGGGGCCTCTCCTAGGACTCTGTGGGCTTGGGCCCCCTGGCGAGGCGGGCATAGATGCGGGCTTGACCACGGCGCTGGCCCACAGACGCGGCGCGTTTCGCCCCCTCAGGGAACATGTCGTCCCTGTTCGCAAGGGGCAGCCAGCTGGTGGTGCGGGAGCTGGGCAGGATGGGGGAGCTGGTGCCCGCGGACAGCCTGAACAGCGCCCCCCGCCTGCGTCCCTTCTGCGTGCTGAGAAAGAAGTGCAGGTGCCACCCCTGGCCTTGGGGCACCCGCCTCATCCCCACCGACTTCTCGCTCCTGGATCTGCTGGAGCCTGGTTCTCCGGCCCCAGGTACGTGTGAATAGGCGGTGGGGCGCAGGAGCCACCGAGCGCAGACGGCTGCCAGGCAGCTGTGGGGGAGACGGGTGAGCGGGGCTGAACCGGTGGGCAGCCCCACCTGGCACACAGAGACCCCCTCGGCTCGGGCAGGGGAGCTGCTTCTTCCTCCTCCCCTAGCTGGGTAGGAAGGAACCATGATGATAACGTTCAGCAACGGCTGCCATGATGAGGTGCCTTGGGCCAAGGCCGCCATCCTCACGGCCTCCCTTGGAGGAAGGCCCTGCCGTTCTTCCTCCCCCTCTTAGAGAGGGGGAGACTACGGCTCCAGGAGGTCACTGGCTTGCCCAAGGCCACAGCCAGCCAGTAAGTGGTGCAGACTGCTTGGGAAGCAGGGCTGAGACCCAAGCCCACGCCCCCGCCTGCCCTCACCCCACCAGCCTGCCTTCCTCCCTGTCTGCCTCCAGCATGGGCATCTGTCTCCACAGAGGTCAGCCGAAGCCAGCCTATCCATATCCGAAAGTCTGTGACTCGCGGGGTGACAGGAGCTGTGAGCGTCGGGCTGCAGGGCAAGGTGGCAGGGGGCGGCGTGGTCACCCACAGCTGCACGCTGGCCGTGCAGACCCTCAGCATTTCCCCTCACACCTGGGAGGGCCTGATGGAGAGCAGGTGAGCCGTGGAGCGGTCACGCGGGCAGGTGGGGCTCCTCTGGCTCAAGGCCTGTGGCCCTGGGTTATCCAGGCTGGAGGGAGGAATTGGGGGTGGGGGAGGGGCCGAGGCCTCGCGGGAAGCCCTGAGCCAAAGTCCTTAAGCCTAGTGTGCAATTCAGCTTGCAGAAGCCCATTTTCGGCCTGTGGTGTAGAATTATCGTGTACCCGCCCCAGCTGTCCTCTCTCCCACCCTTCCCACCCCCCAAACACACGGTTGCAGGAAACTGAGGACGCCCAGGCCCTTGCTGCTCAGGGAGCTGCAGAGCCGGACGCAGAGGGAGCGCCTGTACGTGGTGACAGAAGCGGTGGAGACTCTGCAGGACACCACGCTGCGGAGCCTCGGCCGAGCAGAGGGGACGGGGCAGCTGTCCTTCCCCGGGCTGGGCCATCTGAAGGTGCGAGGTGTGCCTTGTCCTGAGCTGCCACCAGAGGGCCCCGCCCTGCTGCCCTAACTGGCCCCACTGCAGATGGCCTCTTCCAGCCGGGAATGCTGGCCCCAGGCGCCTGCACCCTGGTTCTCGGTGCTGACTGCACTTTGGGGTCACCTGCGAGGGTGTTTCCTTGGGTTTGTTGTTGAAGTTGCTTTGATACCAGTGCCCAAACACCTGCCCTGTTCTGTCTTGGGTGGTCTGGAGTGAGACCCAATCCCTGGTGGTATTTGCTGTCTCCCAGGTGATCCTTCTGGGTCAGTGAGGCTGGGGGTCTGCAGTCACTCTGGAGCAGACGTGCCAGGGGAACAGGGCCTGACATGACCCCTGGCTGACTGTGGGAACTGGTGTTACCCCAAACTGGGGGACCCACTTCCTGGCAAGTTCTAAGAAACACACCAGAAGGGGCTGCCACACAAAGTAATTTATTTGCAGCAAATAAGGAAACCACAAGATTTTTATTTTATTTATTTGAAAGGCAGAGTTAGAGAGAAAGGAAGAGAGAGAGAGCTTCCATCCGCTGGTTCACTCCCCAGAGGGCTACAACAGCCAGGGCTGGGCCAGGCCGAAGCCAGGACCCAGGAGTTTCTTCCAGGTCCCCCACATGCATGCAAGGGCCCAAGCACATGGGCCATCTTCCACTGGTTTCCCAGGCCATTAGCAGAGACCTGGATGGGAAGTGGGGCAGCTGGGACTCGAACTGCTGTGTGGCACTTAGAGCTCTTACTGAGCTCACGTGTATTGTTTTGACCCTAGAATGCCGTGGGGTTTCTTTCTGGAATTAACTGTGCACACCGTGTCTTGCAGAATGCTATGCTTGCTGCATTTGCGATCTCTGCCCCCTCCAACTCCTGCACCCTCTACCCTGACCACCCCTGAACACCCTGCATCAAGGGAGACCCCACGATCCCCTCCAGCCCCACCTGCCTCTAAGACCCACTCCTGGAGGCCTGTGAGGATAGGGTGTCCGGTTCTCCCTGCCCCTTCACAGGTCCAGGGGCAGAGCACCATGGACAGAGAGAAGACAGTGACTGTCCCGCAGGGCAGTGTCGTGGCCTACAGAGTGCTGCAGCTGGTGGTTGAAGAGGATCACTGGGGTCAGACCCCTCCCACTTTGCCCATGCCAGCCTGTGCCCTGGGCGCTGTTTCTCCAGGGACGTGAACATTAGCTGGCCACGCCCCCACTCCCATAGCACAGAAGGGACTTGGCTTTCAGAGAAACACTCGCTCCCCAGCCTCTGGGGGAGGGCTGCATCCTACCTGAGGGACGGTCCTTGTCCTCTAACTGGCACAGAGACTCAGGGGACTCAAGTCTTGGTGGTGGGGGGAGGAGGTTGTTCCCCTAATAAATGTCCCATCCCAGAACCCCCGTGAACCACAGATGTGTCTGGAGCTGAGCTAATGTGGGACTGCCCCAGGAGCTCACATCTGGCTCCTGAATTCGGGGCCTCAGGCCCAGGGTGGGAAGGAACAGGGCTCAGACGGCCTCCCGCCCCTCGTGGGCAAGGTGGGAACCAGGAGCAGCACTTGGCCTGCGTGGCCCTGGAGGTGCTGTCCACAGTCTCCGCCGCACGTGGCTGGTTTCCGCCTTCCTCTCAGGGACACACCCCTTTTCCTGCCGGTGCCCCCTCTCTTTGCAGCTGTTCTCTGCCTCCCCGAAGGGCGGCGCTGTGGGGACGCTGGTGGAGGTGAGCATCCTGAGGTCTGTCTCCACTTGGCTGGCTCCTGAGGTCCCCTCCCTCTGCCATGTTGTCACCCCTGTCCCTCGGGGCTGACTCCACCTAAGGAGAACCACCCAGAAGCTTGGGTGGATCATGAGCATGGCAGTCACGTGGGTGTCCTCCTCCATATAGAGACGGCAGCTGTGGGCACTCATCTTTTTGGGTTAGAGGGTCTGAGACGGGGTGTGGACAGTGTCTGGGACCTGAGGGGACCTGAACAGGCCACTGTCATGGTCCCGGTGGTCGGAGCAGGAAGGCAGGGGTAGCGCAGGCCTGCTGAAGTGGTGCTTGGAGCGGGAGAAGCCCATCCCAGCTGGACAGACAGGGACAAGACAGAGCCTTGGAGGCTGGGCCCTGAGCCATGGGTTCTCTTCTTCTTGGGGAGAGGGGGCTGTGGGGGTGCTGGGTGTGGCAAGTGCTTAGCGAGTGCTAACTGAAGTCGGGGATGGGAAGCAGGCACACACAGCAGTGCTGTGTGGAGTGGGAGCTGCCCCCTGGGCTCAGACTTTGGGACCTCCTTGGGCCCCAGGTGAGGAGCAGGACTTCCAGGACCTGCGGAGCCAGGTGGCTGCCCAGCTGCAGGACCTGGCCACACTGTCCCCGGAGCTGCGCAAGACACTGCTGGGTGCCCTCCACGAATTGCTCGGGGACCCTCAGGCGCTCCAGGAACTGGAGGATACGGTGAGGGGCCCCTGGAATGCAGAGGAGGAGGCAGAGGGGAAGGAGAGGCAGAACGGCACTGAGTCTTGGGGGAGCGCCCAGCCTGGCTGGATGAGGCAGGCCCCGTGCTGGGTGGGCACAGCTATGTCCAACACTCCCAGCATTTGCTCACTGGGGACTAAAGCCACTCACCCCCAGCTGGAAGAGCCAGCATCCAAATGCAAGCTTATGTCCCCTCCCCTTTGGGGCCTGGGGTGGTGGTGTGGACAGAAGGCCCAAGGTGAGACCCCGGCTGGCCCCACGATACTCTCGCTTACCCCTTCCCTGCAGCTGGAGCAGGCCCTGGACGCCGGGTTGCTGGGACAGTTGCAGGGCCCTGGTGGCGTCATCGTGTGCAGCCTGCAGGACCCCTCAGGCAACCTGTCGCCCTCCAGAGGCAGGGCCTTCCTCCACCTCCTGGGAGCCCTAGTGGGTAAGGGCAATGGGCCGGGGCTGGGAGGAAGAGGGCCCAGAGGGAGGGCCCCCTGAAGCTCCGATGGTCAGCCCTGCTGAGCCCCAGCTTGACCTGGCCAATCCTCACATCCTGATGAATAATCACATCCCAGAGCCACTGCCGGCAGTGGAGCTGGTGCACCGAAGCCCGTTGACAAGTGGAGCCCACCTCCAACCTGACTGGGTTTCAGGAAAACCGAGGAGCCGGGCAGGGGAGGGCAGCAACTTGCTTGCAGCCACTCAGCGGTTCCAGGGGTTGACACAGCTTCTGTGTTGCAGAACCCTGGCGGGATTCTCCCCGCCTCGGGGCTCCAGCATGCTAGCCCTCCCTCCCCAGGGTTTCCAGGGCCATGAGGAGAGTCGTGGGGTGCCCGAGCCCCCTGCACTCAGTGCTCCTCCCTCTCCATCCCTCCACAGTGCTGAGTGACAGCCAGCAGTGGCTGCTGGCCCAGGTCCTGGAGAGACAGATCCTGCCTCAGCAACTGGAGCTGGTGAGGGCCCCCAGGGAGATGAAGTGGGCTGGGGGGAGCAGCCGGGGAAGACTGGAGGGTCCAGTCCCCAGCCCCTGGGGGTCCCTGAAATGCAGAGAGACAGGTCTTCCATATGCTGGTTCACTCCTCAAATGCCCACAACAGCCATGGTCTAGGCCAGCCTGAAGGCAGAGCAAGGACCTCCATCTGGGTCTCCCATGAAGGTGGCAGAAACCCAAGCGCTTGATCCATCACCTGCTGCCTCCCAGGATCCACATTAGCAGGAAGCTGGAATTGGAAGCAGAGCCGGGACTCGAACCCAGGCACTCCAATAGGGGCTGCGAATGACACAGGCAGCACCTTCACCCCTGCACCAGATGCCCGCCCTTTGTTAGCCCTCTGCACTGCCCTGGCCCACAGAGTGCAAGTAGGCCCCAGGTTCTGACCTCCCGGTGTCCAGGTGGGTGCAGCCTCTCCCAGGTGAGCCCTAACCAGTCCTACCGGACTTTATTCATTGACTGTATTCCACCTGTGCCTTGTGCCAGGCTCCAGTGAAAGAGCCAGCCCCCACTGCCACTCCGGGAGATAACGGCAGTCCTGGATTTAGTTCACACAGGCAGACGCGGAGCTGGGCATCCGGGCAGAATAGCTTGTGCAAAGACCCGGATGCTAGGAAGGGTTGGCGCTCACTCTCTCCTGCCAGAGGAAGTGAAAGATGGTGTTGAGGCCGGTGGGGCTGGGGTTGGACAATACTGGGGTCCACCATTCTACAGGGAACAGACCCCAGGGCCACTGCATGGCTGTGGTGGCTTCCCCAGGGTGGCTTCTGCTGACCCAGGATCCCAGAGACCTCTCTGTTCATTCTGATTGGTTCCTTGCAGGTAGCAAGCATCCTAGAGGCCAACTTCACTCAGAGGGAGGAGGCAAGATGTTCCCTCCCACCAGAGGTCCTCTCGGCCCTGCCCAGTGAGGCTGTGGTCCTTGCCTTGAGCTTGCTGGAGAGCTGTGGGCTGGAGCTCCAGGGGCCCGGCTGCCAGCTCAGCTGGGACCCCGCTGCAGTGCCCCAGGTCTCTGCACTGTATGGGTGCCTGGAAGGGCTGCAGCTGCTGGCCGGTCCCAGCCCCGGGCCCTCCCAGCCAGTGTCTGAGGAGGAGGTCACATCGTGCCTCTAGGGTCCTGACTCCAGGGAGCTGCTGGCCTTTGGGTGGCCTCCGCCAGGACGGACTCACACACTGTCTCCTGTTGTTTTCGGGGCTGGTTCCCAGACGTTGGGCAAGCTCTTTTCAAAGTGGGTCCGGGTTCTTCCTGAGAGCTTTGGAGGCTGGTTCCAGAACAGCCTGGCCCAGTGCAAGGTTCCGCTGCCACTGGCAGCTGTGCAGCTCTGTGCTCCTGCCCTGGTCCCTGGACCACAGAATTCACAGTAACTCTAATAGAACTACGGTGAAGATCCTGAAAGCTAAACTGAACACGCTCAAAGGCGCACCTGGCTATGCTGAGGCCATGCGGTGTTGGCGTTGTTAATAACAGCGTTAGTCTTTCTGAAGGAAGCTGTGGAGGCTTTCTCCAGGTACAGAGGACTTAATTTCCCCTTAATTCCCCCGCCTCCCACCCGTTTCCCTGTCTGTGAGATGAGAGGGATGGGTTAGAAGACTCGGGTCTCCCCAGCTGCACCGCTCAGGGGATTACGGGCAGGGGACCAGGGCTGGCCGCAGAGCAGGCTCTTTCGAAGTCTGGTTCTGATGGCCACTCCCAGCACCTCCCAGGACAGAAGTACAGCTCTTCTGATTGACGGGGGGGAGGGGGTGGCTTTCGGTACAACATGGCTGTGTGTGGGAGCGTGTGTGGTGCACGTGCACTGTGTCTGTGCCCCCTGGACAGCATGCTCTTCTATTGTGGCCCCAGTAAAGATGTTTCCTTGCCTTGGAAGGAGGTCCTGGCAGAACCCACCTCAAGAGCTCAGCCTCCAGGAGGTCCTCGCTTGGGGTCAGCACAGGAGGCGGGGCAGGGGCGCGCTTTGTGGCCAGGGGGTGTGTGGAGACACCTCTTCTGCCTGTGGCTGCTTCTGTGCAGGTCTCCCTGCTCTGGCCTGCCCCAAAGCAGATGGGACACATCCTGACAGCGGTGTTACCTTAGCGGCTTGCCCAGGTACAAGTCGGGACCGCAGGACCCAGGGACAGCCTGACACCAGTTAATGGGCACCTGCAACAGTAGATCCCCAGTCGTGGTCTCTCTCTGCCCTGGGCTGCCTGGTAGTCTGACTTCCGGCCCCCGCCCCACCCTGCCAAATGCCCCCCGGAGAAATCTCCCTCCTCAGCCCAGCTCACGCCTGGAAGGGCAGCAGCCGAGTGCCTTGTCATCCTGCGATCCTGCCAAATGGGCCTCCCTTCCCCCTCTTCCATCTTGCTCAGACCTAAAGCTGGGCTCCTTCTTGGCACCTCTCACTTCCACCTCTCACTCTGCTGGGGAAGCCTGTCAGTTCCACCTTCTGAACACCTCCCCAGTCTGGTCCCTGTCCCGACACCCAACACAACACCCTGTGGAGACGTCCTGCCCGCATCACCGGAACCGCCTCACTGCCGCCTCTGTCCTTGGCTTGGCAGCTGCAGTAACCCCTTCAAACACATCACGTCAGGTCACTGCTTCACTGATGCCTCCACAGTGGCTGCCAGGCTCCGACCTGTCACCCTTCTCTGCTCCCTGCTCTCCTAAGACACTGCTAACACTCCTTCCCTCCCTCAGCCTTGGCTGGAGTTAACTCTCGCGTGTGCACTACCACCCACCCAGCACCTTTCGCTCCATTAACTTCCACACTTAGCATCTCCCAAGGCCTATACAATCTAGTGATCATGTTGGGGCACTGGGAATACAGCATGCAGGGAACAGACATGGCCTGTTCTTATGGAACTGACAACGTGGAGCAAGGCAGATATTAAGGAAAAAAAAATATATGTACTCACTGTTAATTCCAACTGCAAGGAGCTACAAAGGAGACCCCTAGTCCCAGAAGGGGTCATAGGAAGACAGGGCATCCCAAGAGCTCACCACACCCTAGGACTCCACTCCCACCAAGCAAACTGATCAAGCAGCACTGCTTCCCTGGGGAGGGGGCTGGGTGCACTGGAAGCCCAGGGAGAGGAAGCAGCACAGCCAAGACCTCCCAGAGGCAACAGATGCCCCAGAAAGCTACCTCTTCCCTCGGTCTTTGCGGTCCCAGGACACAGGCCACATATGGCTTGATGGATACTCACTAAACATGTCTTGATATAAAGACTCGTGAACACACTCATGTTTGAAACAGTTGTTGCTGGTTTTAGTTTCTAATATGCAGTTAGTCCTCTGCCCATTTGGAAAACTGTGGTCAGGGCAGTTCTAGGACCTCTTTAAAAGGCATCATTACAATCACACAGCACGGTCCAGTAACCCCATCGGGTGAGGGAAGTATTTAGGACCACTAAGTCCACTGATGACTCTGGGCCAGGGGTGGGGAATGTGCAGTCCACAGGCCGGTGCGAAATCATTTTATCTGGCCACTGCAGGAGGCACTTGAAATTCAGGAAATCCACAGCAGGCTAATTTTGAAGGAATTTTGTATGGCTCACGAATGATGTTATAAATATCAAATGGCAGCAATACCTGGAATAGGCTACCTTGCATTGGTTTTATATAGTGAAGCGTCACAGAAATCAGAATGAGACAAACATCGATCATTTCTGTCCCCTGGATATGCAGGGGAGGTTATGCACAGTGAGGCACAGTTCTTGGTGCCACACTTCAGAGGTTTATTTTGAATATTGTTTTATAAAGTCACACTAAGTTCAAGAGGGAGACCAGAATAAGTCCCACTACTGCCTTTGCAGGCAGTGCATACGATACAAACACATATGCTGGAGGTCACTTGCCTCAGGTATCTCACTTCTCTAGAGGGGTAGAGGGGGAAAAAGAGTTCCCAAGAAATGACTTGGATTGGGGTCACTGTCAGTGCACAGGTTTTTTTTTGGTTACACCTTTATGGCCATATCCTATCCTACAGATTTTTTCGATATGCTCTACAGGGATTACTGGTTTAAGACTCCTGGAGTGGTAGTTACTGAGGTCTCAAAGGGAACTGGAATGGGTGACATTTTAACTCAAAAAAGGACACAATTATCTTGAAACAAGCCTAAAATACTTGCAGCAATCTTAAAATAGGCAAGAATGTTTTTTATCCCAAATCTTCAGAAAGTGAGAAAACCATGGGCTGACAAGCTCCACTCATCTACATGGAGGGCCGTGGTGAAAGACAAGAATGGGGGTTGGGTGGAAGGATGATGTAACCAACCATTCGGCGTCCTGGAGAGAGAGGCACAGGGACTGAGGCTTAAGATGAGTAGACACTGACCAGATGGCCTTTAGGGCTAAGAGTAAAAGAAGGCAGCTTGAAGTGGGAGGATTTCCCTACACCTACACTGGAGGGCCACCCCTCCCTCCAGTGGGCAGGACACTCCCTGAACACGGACCCTGGCCATTTTCCTGATAAGCCTGTGCCCTGACCTACCGACCTTCATTCCAAGGACAGAGATCAGATTGCACAGGTGAGAGGATGCCTACTTTCTCTCTTTGGGTGACCTGCAGGCAAGTGTTAGACCTGAGGCTGAACCCTCCCGTTGGCAGCAGAGATGGCTCCATTTATCAGGCTGTAGAACTGTGCTTCTATCTCATCAGTCAAATCAATCTGCTCCAAACAGGAAGAACAGGCAGGCCAGACAGGAAGTATTTTAGCCACTGACGACCATGTGGTCTCTGACACAATTCTGCTGTTGTAGTGCAAAAAATGCCATAAAAATATGTAAACAAACTGGATTGTGTTCCAATAAAATTTTATTTATGAACATGAATTAGAATTTCATATACTTTTCTCATGCCACAAAATATTCTTTTGTTCTCAACCTTTTAAAAAACCATTCATTATTCTTTTGATTTTTTTTTTTTCCAACCTGTTTTTCCAACCATTCTTAGCTCACAGGCTATACAAAAACAGATGGTGGGCCCATCAGCCCACAGACCAGCGTGCCAGCCCCTGGGCTGGAGCTGAGACTTTCCCACTTACTCTTCAACATGCAGATGGAGAACTATGTCAACTGTATTGGCCACAGCAATAGACTGCCTCTACTGCACCTGCGTCACTATTTTCCATCTGTATTTGCTCCACTCAAGCATTCACTTGGCACTGATTCCAACATGGGTACTGTGCAAGACCCTTCCTTGGGACACTGAAAGAAGTCAGGCACGGCTCCTCCCTTCTCGTCTCCACACACTATGCTTCTCACAGAATCAGCAAAGACGCCCACAGGTACAGTGAAATGTCTGAGGTGTTTCAGGAGATCCTTCTGGTAGATTCTTAGGGCTGCCATTAACAAATTACCACAAACTGAACAGTCTGAAGCAGAAATTTACTTCCACAATCTTGCGGGGCAGCAGTCTGGAACTGAGATTGTAGCAAGGTTGGTTCCTTCGGGGGCTCCAAGGGAGCAATTCCTGTGGCTCCTCGGCTGAAGACAGTGTCCGCATCTCTCCGTCCACCTTCACAGAGCCTTCCACTCTGGGTCCATTTTCCCTTCTTTTCTAAGGACGTGTCATTGCATTCAGGGCCCACCCTAATACAGGATTTCACCTGCAAACATCCTTTTCCCAAATAAGGTCCCTTTACAGATTCCTGGTAGACATAGCTTGTTTGAGGGCCCACTACTCAACCTGTTACAGGGACTCTCTGAAGAAGACGGTCAGCGTCATCCATGAAAGAGAAGCTGAAAGATGGGTTTACCAGACGGACATGAGGGAGGAAGAGCACATCGGGTTCAGTGACCTGCTGGACCAGAGTTCCAGAAGCAACAGTGCATGGACAATCTAGCGAGCAGTTGCGCCCAGCTGCGGACGAGGGTGTGCGGCAGGAGAATGGTGAGCAGGAGGAGCCTAAGGGGTCAGCAGGATTCCACCAGCAAGGCCGTGTGAGCCTTGGTGTGCTGCTACAAACCCAGAAGGACGTGACGGCAGCCTCTGGGATTCTCTGGCACGGCTAACCACTGAATTCTGTCACATCTCAGTCCTCTCCTTACACCACTGGCGTGGCTGCAGCAGACATTTGGAGCAGCTTGTTCTTAATCATGAAACTTGGATTTTAGGATCTTAAACTGAAAAACATGTTAGTTTTCTATCACCAGTGGGGTCATGGCCCTCACGTTTCACTTTCTCCTAGGAGTTTCTCTTCTACTCACTCTCCTCCCAGTGTGTCAAGGGCTGCTCTTCCTTCCACACTCTGCCTCATGCTGCTAGGCTCTCACTCCTGCGAACCGCAAATCAAACAGAGTGTGGCTTTCCCTTTATTATTACATCCACATAATAGTAAATTAAGAAAAAGTCAAGTTAATGACAAGATCACTGATCTTATCACACTTAACAAAATCTTAAAAGCAATGAAAACTATGTACACTGACAACAATTACGAAAAACACTATCAGTAAGACCCAGTTCTCCCCTAAAAGAAGGACAAATCAGGTAACATATACAAATTCCATAAAATATACACGGGGAAAACTTCAAAAGCCTAAAAACAAAACGTCAGTAAACCAACCACACTTAGAAAAATGAAAGCTGATTTTTATTTTATCATCAACAGCCATTCTTTAAACATGAACATGCATACGTAATATTCTACGCACACATCACAGTTTTTAACGTTAGTTAATAAAGGTTAAACACACAACATACATCCTTACAAAAAAAGTCAAAATGCAAAATTAAAACTTTAAACAAAAGTCTTACTAATTTAAAAAACGTTTGTGTTGGGTACCATTTGTACAACACAATTAATTTAAACATTTTCATTTTGGCTGCACATGAAAAAAGCGGCAGTAGAAAATAAAGTTGTTGAGGGCTTTTAAATAGCAGAATAGGCAGTTTTGCCATGCAGGAGAAGCAATATTAAATATTAGTTTTCAAAAAAAATCCACATTTAAAAATATTTAGTTCAAGTCACAGAATTTTTCTCAGTAGAGACCCCAATGCAATGCATAATTAGCTGCCTTAGATGGCCTTTTTGAAAGGACAATATCCCTTCAGAGTGTAACTTTACTGATTTTGGCACAGAAAAGAAGTCTTAAGAACAAGAACATGATTAAAAAAGAGGGAAGAGGAACAGAGGAAAGAAATAAAAGCAAGAATAAATGAGATAGTAATTGCAATCACTAAAAAACTGTGCATTCTCAGTCATTGCAGAACACTGTCTTCTGTCCACAGCAGGGCCCACTCCAGGACTGTTACTGCAGCATGGATTTAATTTGCTTGGAGGTAGTCTCATCATTCAAATGTTTTGTTGTGTACCTGAAAGAAAAGAGCAGCACTATGGAATTCTATCAGGTTTTATGATTATGGCAAGATGAGCAATAGGTCAGGGAAATCTCTCACAAAATTCTGTCTCTTCACTACAGCTTTAACCCAGTTCAGATTCCCATACCATAGATGCTGACCAGCCAACAGACAAGCTAACAGCTATTTCACTTAGTTACAACTTAAAATGTTAAACCCTCATTGTCATTAATTAGCTGTAACTTCTCACTCAGATGAAGTTAAGTGTTCTATCCCAGAGGTTGGCAAATCGTGGTCCATGAGCCAAATCCAATCCATCTCTTTTTACCACAGCCTGTGAGCTAAGCATATTTCTAGTTTTTACGTTTTGGATGGGTCAGGGGAAAAATTAAAAATGTGTCAAATTCAAATCTCAGTATTTCCATATGACATACCTTGCTGATTCATTTACACAGTAAACCTCAATGTTCGCATATAATTTGCCACACTGATTCATTTACATATTCCTGACAGTTATCTTCTTGCTATGACAGCAAATGACAGAGTAGCTGTGACAGAAGTCACATGGCTCACACAGACTAAAATATTTGCTTACCCTGGGCCCTTTACAGCGAATTGCACCACCTCTGTTCTGTTCTGTATATAAGACAGCAGAACTACCACAACCGTCACATCCCTCAATCTGGCACTTAGAGAATACCTTAATTCTGAGTGTTCCTTATCTCCAAGTAGGTGTGTTTTACTATGATCATGCAAACTCAAATTAAGAATCCAAAGAAGAATTAGTAATTATGACAACATTCACCATGGGATTCCTTTAAACAGCAGAAACCAATAGGCAAACCTACTTAGTGTCAGACACTGTTCCAGAAGTTTACCATCCTGCGGAGGGAGAAAAGTACAAGCAGTAGTAGCCAAGAAGACTTGCTCATGTAGACATCACAGATCGCTAGTGAGGAGGCTGACAATTTCAAGTGCAGTGAAAGCCAATAGAGGACATTAAGTAGAAGGTGATGGGATTTCAATCCACTGGTTCACTCCCCAAATGACAGCAACAAAGTCAGGGCTAGGCCAGGCACGAGCTAGAAACCTGGAACTCAATCTAGGTCTCCAATGTGGTTGGGCAGGGACCCACAAACTAGAGCCATCACCTGCTGCCTACCAATGTGCACGTACCTTAGCAGGAAGCTGGATGGGTAGCAGAACCCAAAACTGATATGGGATGGGGGCATCCCAAGCGGGGTCTTAACTGCAGCACCAAAAGCCTACGCCTCATTTCTGTTTTGAAAGGGTCATTCTACGGAACAGGAGGAGCAGCAGGGGGACCAGACAAGGGCCTGATACTGAGGACCGCAGGGGAAATGATCAAGGCTTTGGCCAGATTAGAAGCAATGGAAAAAAATGCTTAAATGTGGGATCTTTTTGGAAATAATCCATTGGTTTGGTTTACAAGAGTTTCACATATAACATTAAGAACTGTAGACTTCTAAGCAGGTACACAAGACAGTTTCAAGGTTTAAGCTCAACTCTTGTTAAGTTCATTTCAAATCCATTTAAAAATCAAAGAAAGCATCTGCAATCAAGAACATCTTTGGAGAGGTAGAAAGACACACACGGTAATTGTGTACTAATATACTCTCTACAATATTACTTCAAGTCAATTCCAAACCATTCTCATATATGAAAGAGACGCTAGCATGACTGGCACCTAACAAGTGCTCAATCAATACTTGGGGTAGGAAGACAAGTGATGTTGCTAGAATGGAAAGAAAAGCCCACACAAGATCACTGACATTAACTGGGACATGATTTAGCAAACATTTAGCCTGCTTTATACAGAGTAAAAATATCACAATCCTGGAGCCAGTGTGCATCCCTATGGGTGCAGATTTGAGTCTTGGCTACTCTACTTCCAATCCAGTTCCCTAATAATGTGCCAAGGAAAAGCAGAAGATGGCCCTTGCACCCACGTGGGAGATCTGGATAAAGTTCCTAGTTCCTGGCTCTTGGCTTCGGCCTGGCCCAGTCCTGGCCACTGCAGTCATCTGTGGAGTCAACAAACAAATGGAAGATCTGTCTCTCCTTCTCTGTTAACTCTTTCAAATAAATAAATAAATCTTTAAAAATGTCACTAAACTCACGAGGTACTGTGAGCTTCTGAATTTTGAGTGTTTGCCTCTCTCCACATGACACAAGCAGTCTCTTCCTCTGTAGGTGTGATCTTAGCTCCCCGCAGTTTTCAGACCCATCACGGGCAGCTAACAAACAGGCATATGATGTCATTTCATTTTTTGTCAAGTCAAGGTTAGTAATATCAAATGTGTGTGAAAATAATATGGAGATATCAAGTATTATCTCCTTTTGTGCACTAAAGCAGTCCTTTTCCAAGTACATATAGCTCTTCTACTGAAGAAAAGCAACTATTATTTACTTCTACTCTTAAATTTAAAGACAATTATGTAGCACTGAACATGAACTCCCCTCTCTAGCTCTCCTTCGCTTTTTTTTAAGATTTATTTATTTGAAGTTCAAGAGTCAGAGAGAGAGAGAGAGAGAAAGAGAGAGAGAGAGGTGTCTTCCATCCACTGGTTCACTCCCCAATTGGCCTCAATGGCTGGAGCAGTGCTGATCCAAAGCCAGGAGCTTCTTCCAGGTCTTCCACGCATGTGCAGGGGCACAAGGACTTGGACCATCTTTTACAGCTTTCCCAGGCAATTAGCAGAGAGCTGGATCAGAAGTGGAGCAGCCAGGACATGAACCGGTACCCATATGGGATGCCAGCACTGCAAGGCGGTGGATTTACCCACTACGCGACAGTGTTGGCCCCTCTCTTTTCCTCTTATTAAAGGCATTTTGTCCCATTTCTCTGATTGTAAATCACAGACACAACTTTTTGCTTTCTCAGCATAGTGTTAGTTGGAGGTACTATATATATAATTACGACAGAAAATCATTCAAAACAAAGCATATGTGTGTGTCTGTGTATGTGGTTACACCTCCAGTTTAAATGTTTTGGTCAACACTTCTGCAAATGGTAAGCTCCATTTTGTAAAGGTCTAAGTCACAACACTTACATATTTTGGGGCTATAATGCATTCTTGGGGCCGGCGCTGTGGGGCAGAGCCAGAATCCCATATGGCCGCCAGTTCATGTTCTGGCTGTTCCTTTTCCAATCACTTTCTCTGCTAATGGCCTGGGAAAGCAGTTGAAAATGACCCAAGTGGCCGGTGCCGTGGCTCAATAGGCTAATCCTCTGCCTGTGGCGCTGGCACACTGGGTTCTAGTCCCAGTCAGGGTGCCGAATTCTGTCCCGGTTGCCCCTCTTCCAGGCCAGCTCTCTGCTGTGGCCAGGGAGTGCAGTGGAGGATGGCCGAAGGGCTTGGGCCCTGCACCCCATGGGAGACCAGGAGAAGCACTTGGCTCCTGGCTTCGGATCAGCACGGTGCACTGGCCACAGCGTGCCGGCCGCAGCAGCCATTGGAGGGTGAACCAACGGTAAAGGAAGACCTTCCTCCCTATTTCTCTCTCTCACTGTCCACTCTGCCTGTCCAAAAAAAAAAAAAAAAAAAGACCCAAGTGCTTGGGCCCCTGTACCTGCATGGGAGAAATGTGCCCAGATAGGCCCAGTTCCGGCCATTGCAGCCATTTGGAGAGTGAACCAGTGGATGGAAGATCTTTCTCTCTGTCTCTCCCTCTCTGTCTGTAAGTCTACCTCTCAAGCGAAAAAAAATAAAATAAAATGCCTTATTAACATTATCTGTGTGCTCTGCGTGAAGCATATGAAAGGTGAGGCTCACATGAAGCAGTGAGTGAAGGTGCCTGAGCTCAAACTGAGACCTAGTGAAGAGGCTACGCGCTCTGGACATGGCTGCCTGCATTAGTAATAATGCCACCCTCAAGTGTATCACATGATAAACCTAACACTTAATGAGAGCATGGGGTTTTCAGAATGAAATCCTGGATTTGAAACTACATCCCAACAGTTACTAGGTACATACTCTTTAATTTCTCAGAGCTGAGGGAACTTTTGAGTCTATACAGTGGAGACACTATTACTATCCCATTCCCACCAATCACAAACAGCTCACAGCTGTGGTGATGACAGGGCTAGGAAACACTGCCAACTAAAACCACTGCTAGATAAGCACCCAGGTATAAGGGTTAACCTTACAAAACTTCCCAGGTACAAGAATGAATACCAGACACTATGGACAAAACAGCTCAAGAGTTACATCTAGATCAAAATTTTGTTTTCTAATTTCAGTCATCTATTTGGAAAGAAAAATGTCACAGAACTGACAGGTAGCACTTGCCTCCATGGCATTTTTCTCCCCCTTTCCTCAAATGCAGATCACAGGGGGGCAGGGGGAGCTTCGCCACCATCTTTCACCAGCCCTGACTGCCCTCCTTTGCCCTAACCTAACGCTAAATAAAAAGAGTAATTACCCCTAAAGTCTAAAAAACATTACTAGGTTCACAGCTTTACACTGATCTCATAGGCATACTTTCTCCATGGTAAAGAAGTAAAACTAAAACCTCCTGTACTGGAATTACCTCTAAGTTCAAACAGAAGGCTTCCTGCCACTGGCTGGCTTTGAAGAAAAATCAGACTGACTGAGACACAGGGGCGTCCAGAAAGTTACTGAGGAGGTAAGACTCACATCACCTAAAGTATTGAAAACTCAATGTTTGCATTGTAAAGACCAGGCTTATATTTCAAACAGTCTGACATTATTAGGATTTTTGAGTTCCTTAATATATCTGATGTTCCATTTAGAATAGACTTCTCTTATTTTAGCTGTCATGGCTATAGGATGCCTTTCATATTCTCAGTAACATCATCTGATGGTTTCACTCTGCTGAAATGACAGCCAACATTTTGCTTTTTCATGTGTTCATACAATTTTTGTATTTAAAACCAAAGTAATCAAGCAATGGGAAACTGACTTTCCTTTCAGGGAAATTATTTCACAAGTTAAATTTCTGTGGCCAAAATGTAAGGAAGTACTGAGAGTTTCATTTAAAAATACTCTAGCATTCTTAGGATCTTCTGTAACTAAAGTAAGAGAAAGCTGAGAAAAGACATCATCTAATGACTATTTCCATTGTAAGGAATACAGAAAAAAATAACACAGGCTGTATCTGCAATTATACTCTACTCAGGGAAAAGAACTGGTTCTAAAAAACCTGTATGGAATTATTTTATAAAAATGTAACTAGCACATAGGGCTATGATCAGCCATACAACACAGGAAAGAACTCCAGATGGCTCAACACAGTGAGATTATATGAATTTCTTTTTCTTTAAAATTTCCTGTGTTTTCTCAAGTTTATTTACAGTTAGCATGTATTACTTTTATTAAAAAAAAATAAGTAATCTCTGCTTCAAGAGGAGAAAAAAGTAAAAGCCAGATCTTCAACCAAGACACAAAACTGCTGTTCTCATGTGGATACATACATTTCTCATCATAAAATCCTACAACCACTACTGGATAAATACACCAATCAGCAAAATCAGACCTGCATATTTCTAGCTTGAATATTTATCTGCATTTCCTTTGTGGTATTTCCATGTTGAAGAATTTTTTTTTTTACATATACATAAGCCAAGTATTTTGCTGACAGATACACACCTGAGAGCATTTAGAAGACCTTCTACACTGTTGGGAGGCTGGTCCTTAAGAACTTTGATACAACCTTTCATCTGAGGATAAAAGAAAACAGAACAAATCACCCAGTTTTCAATAACATTCATTTTCATTAAAGTAAAATAAACTTAAATCAGCACCACAACTATGGACTACAGAGTTCACACTCTAGAAAGGGCAAATTAATTATTCTTAGAACAGAAAAAAACTATGTGAGCCTTATCATTTTCAGTTTGTCAATGAAATGAAACTTTTAAAGAAACAAATAAATCAAACTAAAGTACCACTCACACAACCAAAAACAAAGGGTTTGTTTAGGGAAGACTTCCTGAAAAGTGTTAAGTAGCCATTTCAAGGACAGAATGGATATGTGTAGTGAAGATCCAAGGAGGATGCAGGCAGAAAAATCTCACGACAAAAACACGCAGGTTCCCAAAGCAGAGGACTGACAAGAGTTTGTCGAGGCTGGAACAGGATTACAGGGAGCCCTGAATGCTGGGACGGCTCATCTGGAGCTGACGGCAGGAAGCAGGGACCAGCTACAGCTAGTAAGAAAGGGAACAGGGGCCAGTGTTGTGACATGGAGGTTAAGCCTCTGCCCGAGACACCAGCATCCCATACGGGCACTGGTTTAAGTCCTGGGTGCTCCACTTCTGATCCAAAAGCAGTGAAGGATGACCCAAGTACTTGGGTCCTTCCCATCTATGTGAAAGATCCAAATGAAACTCCTGGCTTCCACCTGGCCTAGCCCCAGCCATGTGGCCATTTGGGCAGTTAACCAGTAAATGGAATCTCTCTCTCTCTTTCCCTCTCTCTCTGTAACTCTGCCTTTCAAGTAAATAAATACACCTGAAAGGAAGGGAGGGAGGGAAGGAGGAAACAACTGGTGAAGAGGACATGCGGGGAAGACCCCTCCCATTATCACAAGCACAGTGCAGTAGGAAGAACACAGGCTGCAGAAGCCAGGCGTGGCTTCTACTCCTCCCACTCCACTCACCAGCAATTCTATCTTAATTACCTAAACTTTAGTTGTTCTGATAGGAAAGGGGAGGTAACACCTACATTTCCACAAAGTAGTTTCCAGTCATGTTCAGGAGAAAAATACAAGACATTTCAGTAAACACACACAGGAAATACCTATTTTCTTTGGATGTGCATGGCAGCAAGACTAGCATCATCAATCAAGATCCAAACTGCTGCCAGCCTGAACTAGCTGTGAAAGGGAAACCAGGAGACAATTTTCTTCAAATGCTGGTTAGAGCACTGATGAACTGGATGTGAGAAGGTGAGGGAAGAAACTTCAAAACTACTCTATCTCTAATATAAACTTTATTATAGAGACAAGGAATGTAGAAACTTGGCTACAGTCACGAATTATGACAACAGGGTAGGGGAAAGAAAACACATCAAGTCATAGTTTGTTCCCTGGAGTCTCGGTATTCACATACATGTTTTTAAATAAATCTGCTCTTGGAAAGGCCCTTTGGCCAAAGGAATTAAAAGACTTGATTAGAAAAAGGGATTTTTTAAAAAAATATTTATTTATTTTGAAAGGAAGAGTTACAGAGAGGGAAAGGCAGTTGTGGAGAGAAAGAACTCTTTCATCCACTGATTAACAGCCCAGTGGCTGCAATGGCCAAGGCTGGCCAGGCCAAAGCCAGAAGCCAGGAGCTTCAACCAGGTCTGCCATGTGGGTACAGGGACCCAAGCAGTCAGGCCATCTTCTACTGCTTTCCCAGGTGCATTAGCAAGCAGCTGGATAGAAAGTGGAGCAGTCAGGACTGAAACTGGAACCCATATGGGAAGCCCGCGCTGCAGGCACGGGTTTAACCTGTTATGCGTCAACGCCAGCCCCAGGGAACTTCTTGTATCTTATGACCTATATGTACTGCCAAATAAGTAAAGCAACTCTCCCCTCTCCCCCACCCCCTGCCAAAGTGCTCTAAAGACAACGGTCGCTCTTCAGTCATCCACACCACCTGCAAACAGGCTGCAAGAAACCTGGCAAAAGAGCAATGCAGGTCACAGGCCACCACTTACCACAAACTACAAATGGGAGCTCTGTAAAGAGTCCAGCGCGCTGGCTTTCTTTAAATAAAATAAAAACTTATGGTGTCCAACGTACGGAAATTGCTTGCAACTATTAAAATAACATACAACTTACATCAATTTTGGAGGTTTTGGCAAATGCTCCCACTGGATGCACATGGTCATAGAGGATGATAACACCCACCATTACTCTCAAGCAGAAGGACACTGTTTCTTCATTTGTAAACCTGCTTCTGTATTCCCTGGAGGGCAGAAAAGACTCTAAATAAGGCACATCACAAAACTCTTCAGACAGCAGATTCCACCTTCACATGATACTGACTTACCCCTTCCATCTCTGTAATGGATGTGACCATGATGAGAAGGTGCTGGATGGAGAGGTGACACCCTATACCGCAATCTCTCTGCACCTAACTTGGTGTAATACCCCTCCTGCTTGACTGCAAGCAACCAGTTCAGAGTGCTCACAAGTGGTTCTGGGAAGAAGTCTGAGGATAGCTACTACACAAAGGCTGTTACCATCAAATGATGAAAAAGCCATGGGTCTGCCAGAGCTAGTAGGTTTGCTCTTTAGGGGCTAATCTAATTTAACCATCACTGTGTTACTAGAAATGAATTTTACTGAAATTCTATCACACTCTTCTCTGTTTTGGGAAAAGGAGAACATGACTCGTTCCTCTACAGAAGGCAGTGTGACACAGTAGGCAGGAAGAGTCTGGAACTGGGATGAAGACACCCAGGCCCCAGGCCTGTGGGAGAGGTTGGCCCCAGCTGCATAAGTTCCTTCAGTCTCAGGATCTTGCTCTCCCAAGTGAGGAGGAGAGTGTTGCCCTCCTACTTCATAAGGTTTCCAAACAGATGATGTGTGTAATAAGGCTTTGGGAGAAAAAAAGTACAGGAAAACAAAAGTTGTCAGTAAAAACCGGTTATCCTTCAAGAATCCAGAGGGATTCTCTCTGCCTGCTGACAGGAAAATCCAACCAGAACACATTGTGGTATACAAGGCAAAGGCCTGAGAAACGGAAACTCAGAGGGGAATTAAGTTTGTGGAACAACAGACTAATACCAACTCTGGGAGAGAAAGGGATAAAAAGAAAAATAACTCTAGCCCTCAGGCAAAAAGGCAAGGTTCTTTACTAAGAAGGCACAAAGAAAGTGAGAAGCACAGCCAAGCAGCTTTAATTTAAAGCACTTCCTCTCCCCATTCTGCTCCCCAAAAATCAAGGTCTCTGTTCTGAAGAATCCTATTTAGTCCGATTCATTTGAGGGACCTGAAGACCGGCTCTACTTTATACTTAACCAGAAGATACACCAACCTTACGAATTATTTTAATTTTGTTCATATACTAATACTTGACGCTTCAGATATACTTAGTTTCTACCTTCCAAGACGGACATGTTCTTATTTGGACACGTTTTGAAATAGCGGTTATCTCAACAGTGTTGTCAAAGGGAAAAAGATTAGTTAATACTCACGGTGTTTCAAGCATGACTCTGCAAACACTAGCCATGGTGCTTAGACAATCTGTGGTGTTTTCTATTGGTAAATTTTTATTCTGTAAGTACAAGGAGAATAAAAAGTAAAAGTGACGTTACTAACTTACATATCATTTAAAACCAGCATACCATGAAAAATAAGTAACTTTAAAATCTGGCTCCTACTCCTGATTTTCTAAAGAATGCAACAGATCCTCAGCACTGTTCTGAGCTCTGGGGAGACAGCTGAACACCGCAGCCAAGGCCCTGCTCTCCCCAGAGGCACTGCCACGCCAGCTGGTGAGAACCACCCCAGCCATGCAGACAGGAGCCAGAGGCGCACAGCTTCAGAGGCCATGTGGTATCTGTGCTTTATCCTATGGGGACCAGGGGGTCACTGGAAATGCAGTAAGCAGAAGAGGGAGGCAATGTGGTTTACGTTTTAAGATTACCTGGCAGATCTATGCAGAAAGGATTACACAGGGCAAGAATGGAAGAATTAATACTTGGAACCCAAATGTGGTAAGTTGGTTGGGAGGGCAGAGGTCTGGATCTGGACAGGCAGTAAGCGAAGGGTTCAGTTTTCAGATTCATGATATATTTTGGAGGGAAAGCCAGTAAGACAGTTTGGTGGAGCAGATGTAGGGATTGAGCAAAGACAGGAATTTAACATGGTATCTTCCATGTTTCTGCTTGCAGAAAGGAAAGAATGGAGAAAAGGCATGGAGGATAGATGACCAAGAGTTTGGTTTGGCCAGGTTACTGCTGCAGTGTCAACTGCATCACCAGAGAGAAACTGCAAATAGGCAGGGAGGTGTGGATATGTGGGTGGGAGGTGTGGACATGTGGGTGGCAGGCAAAGGCCAGAGCTCTGGTGTGCATCTGGGAGTCTGCCAGCCTGATGGCATTTACAGTCCTGTGACGTGCTGAAAGCATCCTGTCTGCAACAGGTGGAAGAGAACAGCTGGGTAGGAAGGCTTACCTCTGAGACAAATTTTGTCGTGGCATCACTTAAGGTTTTCAGCATTGGGGTTGCCTCAGCATAAAACAAAGACATTCGATTTGCCAATTCATTATTTACTTCATTTTCTCCTTCTGCCTGTGTGGACAGTGAGAACACTTGCTATTAGTTCATAAATTATTAAATCTGTGACACTTATGGAAGGATCAAGGCAGGATGTCAATTTACCTCATTAACGCTTGTTAAATTAATCTAAAAACACTCTTGACAAAATTTCATTCTGACCCTTGTGTGCATATTTTTTTTCTTTAAAAGTAAAATGATAACAAATGATATTAGACAATTTTTAAAAAAGATTAGTCTCTGTAAAAATACTTCAAATGCTATTAAGGAATTAAATAAAACCTGATAGACCATGTATTAAATACAAGACTGTTCTAAATGCTGTGGAGTTCAGAAAGATGTTTCTCAAGCTGGATCCTGTCTTCCACTATGAACATCCAAGTATTCACACAGCATCCTCAATGGTAGGCTGAAAGACAATGATGACAGAGGAGGTGCTAAAAGAAAGATTACATTAAAAGAAACTAGGAAGGACCAGAAGAGGCAGCTGTTGCAAGTGACCAAGTTAATCCTTCCTGAAGAGGGGAAGAGCGTGCTGTCCAATGACTCAGTAAAGTGCAGTAACAATGCTAAGAGTATTAACAGCATACTCAGTATAGTAAGAGGCAGCAACCAGTGAAACACAAAGCTGGGGCCAGATTGCAGAACGTCTTTAATACTAGCTTAAGTTCCACTTCTTCTTTCATTTGGTGTGGGGTGAGAAGAAATTACAATTAAGTCAAATTTCTGAAGAAAATGAACTGATGGGGCAGATTTTTACCAAAAGGAACAGGAATAAGGCTCCCAAGCGGAGCAGAAGTAGGAAAAGGTGGAAGAACGGGAGAGAGGAGACTCAGCAGAGAGATTTCACTTGAAAAACTACTGCCTTTCTCTGTAATTACTGAGGATGAGAGAGAATAAAGATGACTTCAATGTTTATGGCCTTGGCTGATGGCAAGGATGGCTGTGGTAGATGACTGGCTGTTTTGCTTTCATTCTACTTTACATGGTGGGTATTAAGAGGATAGATGAGGCCGGCACCATGGTTCAATAGGCTAATCCTCCGCCTGCGGCACCAGCACACCGGGTTCTAGTCCCGGTCGGGGCGCCAGATTCTGTCCTGGTTGCCCCTCTTCCAGGCCAGCTCTCTGCTGTGGCCCTGGAGTGCAGTGGAGGATGGCCCAAGTACTTGGGCCCTGCACCCCATGAGAGACCAGGAGAAGCACCTGGCTCCTGGCTTCGGATCAGTGCAGTGCGCAGGCCACAGTGGCCATTGAGGGGTGAACCAATGGCAAAAGGTCACCAATGGCAAAAGGAAGACCTTTCTCTCTGTCTCTCTGTCTACTCTGCCTGTCCAAAAAAAAAAAAAAAAAAAAAAAAAAAAAGAGGATAGATGAGAAGATCAGCTTCAAATCAGAAACTGGTTTGGGGGCCGGTGCTGTGGTGCAGTGGATTCATGCTCTGGCTTTAAGCGCCGGCATCCCCTATAGGTGCCGGTTCAAGACCTGGCTGCTCCACTTCCCATCCAGCTCTCTGCTATGGCCTGGAAAAGCAGTGCACCCTCATGGGAGACCCGGAAGAAGCTCCTGGCTCCTGGCTTCAGATCGGCAGAGCTCCGGCCGTTGCAGCCAATTGGGGAGTGAACCAGCAGATGAAAGTCTCTCTCTCTCTTTCAAATAAATAAAGCTTTAAAATAAAATCAGAAACTGGTCTATGCAGGTAAGAGACAGCTCATGGAAAAGAAATCTTCCTCCACCACAGTGCCTGTCTGAGAGCAGCCATTTTGTAAATACCTACTGAATTGTAAAAAAAAAAAAAAAAAGTCTCTTTTGGCATTTTTAAAAATATCACACAATGTATCATTCCTGACACAGGTATAGTATTTCCCCATTAGACTACCTATGGGAAGCTGGAGCAGAGCTTTGAAATTTCTCTTTTCACACCAATGAACACAACGGAGGTTCTCAAAACACAAAGAGAACATAGTACTATTTTCTTCATCACTAACTGAGATCTTACTTGTGGCTTTCACTCCCTGAAGGAGAAAAGGGTGCCTAATAGTTTAAGAAGAAGGACGATGGGAGAGGTTCATAGACAGACGGAAACGGAAGACTTGTATTGCCCAGGGACAGGCAGGGCAGCCATCATGTCCCATGGCCACAAGGGCCCCGAACTGATGTGCCGACGACCATGACTCTGCCTCCCTTCTTGCCAGCATCTGTCATCTCTGACATCCCAGGTCAATTTCAGAAAACAAAAACAAACTTGTAACTACTAATTCACAAAATTTTTGTATAGTTAAAATGGTAATACATAAAGAAACTTTAGTTAAGTATCAATGTTAGATGCAACCTTACAGTAGTAGTCATGGGAATTGAAAAGCTGGAGTGGAAAAATAAGATACCACCAAATGGCTTCCTAGTTTGCTCTCTTCTCTCACAGCTTTGGCTGTCCATAATTACTGACTTTATCACCAGCTTTAATATTATCTGAATGAATGAGCAAAAGAATGAACAAATAAAATAAAATGAACAGAGTTATTCTTAACACCCCGAATTCAAAGCAGTAACTTACTGGAACATTATTAATCCTCATCCGACTCAACGTTCTTCTGTAATAACTGAAATCGTTCTGTATGGCAGGATTCGTCATCTGAGAAAACATTTATGAAGAAAATGTTACATGCCAAATGCTATTGCAAAGATTAGGTGAAAAACTGAAATGCAGTTTTGATGAGTTACATAACATTCCCTTATTTTAAGAACTAAAACTGGCAACATACAAGACAGCTGTAACACTATGCTCAGCCCCTACTGAACATAAAAACCACAGACTGTTTTTCAATCATGGGCAGTGTATTTTCCTTTTTTTTTTTATTCCTATAATTTAGTTAATACTGGTTTTACCAAACAAACAAAAACAAATGTCTAGGCATTCGCTCTCAATTAACAGAAGCTTTTATTTATGTTCATTTGCCTTCAGACTAAAATTTTACACACAAATTATTTGTGCTTAGTAAGAGAAGTAATAGCTGTCTATGTTACAACCATAAAATAATAAAGGTGAGCATCCAACCCTTCCATTTTCCGGACAAGATACTCAAGGCCCTGTAAAGTCCAAGGCCCTCATCAACCTCTCACCCCTAATCACTGCCAACAGTCTCACAATAGAAAACCCTTTATTCCTTTATACTTACTCCCTCTAACCTGGGGATATTCACAGTTACAAACAGCAAGAGAGCTGTTTATTATGAAGGGGATAAAGGGAGAAATTTTAACAATACTTGAAAGCAGTAGGAATGAGCAGAAAAGAAAGAAGTATTACAAAAGAAGCTTACTATTGCTACTGTTTCAGAGAAGCTTTAACATGAAGACAACACACTGGGCAGTTTCTTATTTGCTGTGTAATATATCAAAAGGTCCACCATACTTTTTAAATCCTGCTTTACATTTTTTTAGTCCAGCACAGATCAGCTAAACACATTTTAACAAGATTTCAGGCTTTTTCCTCCTATGACTCACTGAAAGACTCATGATTTTTATAACAATCAGGAAAATTGTACCTTGAGTTCATCAAACCGGAGTGTAAAATGAAGAATTTCTGCAAACTGTTTAGCAAGAGCCTGCTCTCGCTCTAAATGCTGGGTGGGAGAGTACGGGGTACTTGTCAAGGCTCCCAAAAGACCTCGTAATGCTGCTTCTGAAGAAAGACAAAAAGATACAAGCATTATGTTGCTTCTACCTCTGCAACATTTATTCAAAACTGAACAATAGTATCTTAATTCTCAGAAAAGGTTTCTTTAAAAATGAAAACAGATGATATAAATGTAATCAACACAAGTATAAAATTTGCAACTGATGTACTGCATATAAAGTCATACTGTTTAATACAATAAAAATCTTAAAAGGACTAATTCCATTTTATAATTCTGTAAATCCATATTCAGAATAATGCATAAGTGAATTAGAATTAAATGCCAGGATCAATGGGCAAATTTTACAATACCGTCACCATTCTGCACATTCTAGAATTTGGTTTTATGAAATGGTAATTGTTACCTACAGCTCAGTAACCTCCTCATGGCACTGTTTCACACAGTTAAATCTCTACACAGCTATGAATACTGGATCAACTTCCAATATGCTGTCTGTGTATACATACAAAACTGCTTTCTTCTAGCTAACTAAATTTGGTTTAAGAAGCTTCCTGACTTCTTAGGGCTTGGCATCTCAGGGTCATGACAGATATATTCTAATTTATTACATAACCAAAATGGTGCCTTTGAAATACATGCTACTTGTGGAATGCCAGACTAGGAAACATATAATGGAAATATGATATTTCACTTATAATGAAAAACACCCAAAAATCAAAGTAATTCACAAAGAGGTTACATCATCAGAAAACATGCAAGATTCCAGTTGGAGTTATCTGACAGTAAATAAAAGATTAACATATACTTATTATATTAATAAGTAATAAATTTGTCAGATTAACTTTTTTCTTTTTTTTTTTTTTTTAATTTATTTTTTTGACAGGCAGAGTGGACAGTGAGAGAGAGAGACAGAGAGAAAGGTCTTCCTTTGCCGTTGGTTCACCCTCCAATGGCCGCCGCGGCCAGCGCACTGCGGTCGACGCACTGCGCTGATCCAATGGCAGGAGCCAGGTACTTCTCCTGGTCTCCCATGGGGTGCAGGGCCCAAGCACTTGGGCCATCCTCCTCTGCACTCCCTGGCCACAGCAGAGAGCTGGCCTGGAAGAGGGGCAACTGGGACAGAATCTGGCGCCCTGACCGGGACTAGAACCCGGTGTGCTGGCGCCGCAAGGCGGAGGATTAGCCTAGTAAGCTGTGGCGCTGGCCTGTGGCGCTGCCCAGATCACTAATAAGAAAACATAATCACTTTCCTACTATTTAGAAGACCCAATTATGAGCCAACATCCACACTGTGCACTTAATACAATCTCTGATTTGACTTTCAGCCTTAACTATGACATGGATATTATAGATGTAGGAACTGAATTTCAAAGAGGTTAGGAGTCCAAGGACATTTATAGCTAGTAAATGTCAAATGTTTCTGACTCCAAAGTCTTATTCTCTCCATTATAATAAACTGTCTTTTTAAAAAAAAAAAAAAAAAGAATTATTTATTTATTTGAGAGGTAGAGTTACAGACAGTGAGAGGGAGAGACAGAGAGAAAGTTCTTCCATACGTTGATTCACTCCCCAAATGGCCGCGATGCCCACAGCTGCACCGATCCGAAGCCAGGAGCTTCTTCCCGGTATCCCATATGGGTGCAGGGGCCCAAGGACCTGGGCCATCTTCTACTGCTTTCCCAGGCCATAGCAGAGAGCTGGATTGGAAGAGGAGCAGCCAGGACTAGAAACGGTGCCCATATGGGATGCCGGGGCTGTAATCTATGGTGCCACGACTCAGGCACCTAAACTGTCTTTCAAATAAAGCAGTAACCCACCTAGCCTTCTGTAACTTCATAAAGTATTAATCTATTGATTACACTGATAGTAGGAATGCCATATGCATCTATTGCATGTCAAGTACTGAGCTATACACTTCATAAGACATTACTTTTCATCTACACTCTAACTCCAAATCACAGCTCTTAGCCTTTTTTTTTTTCAAGAGTCAAAAGGCAATGGACTAATTTCTCTATGCCAGGCAGTGGGGAAACAGATGGAAAGATGAGCTCCCTATGCACAGGGGAAGTCTTGTTACTTAAAACAAAGTTGGATATGTGTTAGAAAGAAATATAGGGTACAGTGGAAAGGTAGAAAACAGGAGCTTGCCTATGTGAAAGCTCAGGAAGACTTCTCTGAACAATGATATATGGGCAGAAATGGGGGTGTACACTAAGGATAATCAGGACTTTGCAGACAGGGCAGGGAGTCAGACCCTGAGCTGAGAAGAGCAGGATATAGTGGAGGAACTGTAAGACCCATACAGGCAGAACAGGGTGTGCAAAAGGAGAGATATCGGGGTCTAGCACTGTGACACTGGCATCCCACATGGACGCCAGTTCAAGACCCAGCTGCTCCACTTCCAATCCAGCTCCTTGCTAATGTGCTTGGGAAAGCAGCAGAGGGTGGCCCAAGTCCTTGGCCCCCTGCACCCACGTGGGAGATCCGGAAGAAGCTTTGGGCTCCTAGATTGAGTTTGGATCAACCCTGGGCTGTTGCGGCCATTTGGGGAATGAACCAGTATATGGAAGATCGATCGATCATATACACACACACACACACACACACACACACTCATTCCATGGGTCATTGTTAATGAAAGCACAAAGTAAAGTCAGAGAGACGAGAACAATAATTTTAAAATGCTGCTGCAGGCTACTAAAAAAAAGAAAGTTTCCATTTGCCTACATCTCACCAAATCTCAGGGTTAATTTCAGCATTCCAAGTACGCTACCACTTTGGGGGGAGTCAGGTCACTAGGCTGAGTGCAGATGCCAGTGACCAGGAGCTGCGGAGCTTCTGCCCATGAACAGCTGAAGCTGAGAAACCCAAGACTGCAAGGCTGCCTATGTGCCTGTGGCAACTCAGTCAGCACCTGCCTGCAGTTTGAGGCTGATACAAGAGACTGACTGGTCAACAACTCCTGGCCTCAAGAGAAGAGTCAGAGACAAAGGATCCCACAGAAAGGCACAGAGGGAGGAAACAGAGACCGAGATCTTCCTTCCATGGCTGGTTTGCTCCTCAAAATGGTTGCCAACAGTCTGCAGGCAGAACTCCATCCTGATACCCTATGCGGCTAAGGGCCCAAGTACTTAAGCCATCCTCTACTGTCTTCCTAGGCACATTAGCAGGAAGCTGGATTGGAAGTAGAGCACCTAGAACTCGAACCAGCACTCCAATATTGCATGCCACAGTGGCAAGCTGCAACTTTACTAGCTGTGCTACAATGCTAGCCCCCTATGTCTGATCTTCTGCAGTTTCAGACACATGAACCAAGCATAATCAGACATTATTTTAAGAGCACAAAAGTTTAAATAATCCAAGTGCCTGAAGATTAGCTCCTTTCAAGTCTGTGGGTTATTTAAACTTTTGTGTTCTGAAAATCACGTGGGAAAAGACTTACTGTAAAGCTGGAGAGAAATTCTACCAAGTGGTTTAATCATACTAGAGTTCCTTTTAGCAGGCAAAGAAATCAAAGATATGTCTCAATAGATCTTAAAATTTATTGAGGAAAAGGGTTAAATACATCAAAGACCTGGGCTGTGGGGATGCTATATAGACTACACTGTGACCTTATAGTCTGACAAGCTTACTTTACCTAGAGAACAGATAATTCATCTTTAGCTAAGTTCAGCACTGTAAACATAAAATATTCTTCTGGCACTAGCAGAAGTCTTTTTCAGTAGGGAAGTCAGAATTACAAACTTTCAACTTACCTAACCTCTGAGAAAATTCATAAAATTTCTTTAATTTGCCTACTAGTGGAACAACGGCACCCCATGCCTTCTCTTGCAACTTCTCATCTGCTGGATGCTGGATTGCCTTAAAAATTCAAAGAATATAATCAGTTAAGATCTCAAAAACCACAACAGTATTATCTTTACATTCAAATACAGATTTTAACAAACGTAGGAAATACTGGAAGGCAGAGTAGACCTTCTCAGTTCCATGAATAAATTTTTATACCACATTTGCAGTTGTCCTTGCAACAAATACTGATATAATGGAATAAAAAATGGCTCAATATATGTTTGTTATCTACATTACACCCTGGGACCTTTTAGATCCACAGAAATAAAATATTTTATATGATTTCCCATTTTACAGATAGGCTCTCTTAATATTTCTTTGTCAAAGGATTATTTTGATGGAGTAAGTTGAAACAACAACCAAAAAAGATAATAAATGAAGATGACAACTCTGGTAATAAGCTAAGAAATAATCATTCCAAATTCCGGACTCCAAACTAGCTCTAAGAACCACCAAAATCAACCTGAAAAATATGATTCAGAAAGTGTCTCAGATAGCTGTTTGATAAAACTAAAATACTATTTGTAGGGCTTTCCTAAATATGAAGATGAAAAACAGGTTTCAAATCTCAAAGGCGATAAAATAAAACATAGAGATCCTTAAAAAATACATATTAACCTAGAGATCATAAATATGAATACAGCTTTTTCTATTGCCCAGAAGTTTAAACCATTAGACAACCTTTTCTGAGTATATAAGGTTATTCTCCCCAAAAATATACTGTCTTACTTTTATCATCCTTTTACCTATAGATGCTTTTCTTAATCCTTTATGGAACTTAATTCTTTTTTCAATAACCTAGTTTGCTTTCTCTAACACCTGCAAACAAAATAAACACACTATGTAAAAGTTTAAAAAGAAACTGACTGAAGGGGCTGGGGTAGGGCATTTGGCCTAGCGGTTACGATGCCTGTGTCCCATTAGCTCAGTACTTAGGTTTGATACCCAGCTCCAGCTCCTAATTACAACCTCTTGCTACTGCAGCCCCTTGGAGGCAGTGGTAATGACTCAAATAATTTGGTCCTTATGCACACACATATTCATGACTTCAGTTCTGCAGTCCCCGCCCCACATCAACTGTTTGCATTTGCTAGCAGATGGGAACATGTATGTGTGATCTCGAAGCTGAAACTCATAACCAAGACAGAAGTCTGCTAAAACATTATGAGGTATTCACATGTTCAAACTTACCCAATCACTAGCACTGATTCTACCCACACAAAACGCAAGAAGAAAGCAAAATCAATTGAACTCAGATTTGAAGGATGCTCTGAATTGATTAGTTACAAAATACATAAATAGCTATCTTTTGCTTAAGCAATTTGCTTTATAAGCTTGTCACTACTTTAAACTTTGTTTATATAATTTTTAAAAATGATGCTTAAACCCAATAGGAGCCTGAACTTCCTACAGTTTTGATTATCTAGAAATACTGTAATGTTAATGAAAAGCTAACTTTACAAAATGTAACAATTCCTATTTCACATTATATATTTCAAAGGGGTGTTGATATTATGCTGTGTACATGGAAAAAAAATCTTTAGCCTCAATCATGCTCAGTAAATATTCCCCCTATCAAGTAGTACAAATCTGTTTATAAAAAAACAGATGAAAACAAAACTTTTCGTTTCTTCTACTAAGAAGTCTACCCAACTTTTCTTCCAGTGATCTAAAAATGATTTTTTAAAGATTATTTGAGAGGCAGTTACACAGAGAGAGAGGGATAGACAGTGAGAAAGGTCTTCCATCTGCTGATTTTCTCTCCAAATAAATAGCTGCAGTGGCTTGAGCTGGAGTTCCTCGGAGCCGGGAGCTTCTTCCCAGTCTCCCACGTGGGTGCAGGGGCCCAAGCACTTGGGCCATTTTTCACTGCTTTCTCAGGCCATAGCAGAGCAGGATTAGAAGAGGAGCAGCTGGGACTAGAACCGGCACCCATATGGGATGCTGGCGTTGCAAGCAGGAACTTAGCATACTACATCACAGCGCCGGTGCCCTAGAAATGATTTTCTAAATATCAATACAAATCAAGACATAAAAACGTTCCAGTGTCAAATTTTTTTTTAAGATTTTTTTTTTTTTAATTTATTTGAGAGGTAGAGTTACAGACAGTGAGAGGGAGAGACAGAGGGAAAGATCTTCCATCCGCTGGTTTACTTCCCAGATGGCCGCAATGGACGGAGCTGCGCCAATTCGAAGCTGGGAGCTTCTTCCTGGTCTTCCTATGCGGGTACAAGGGCCCAAGGACTTGGGCCATCTTCTGCTGCTATCCCAGGCCATAGCAGAGAGCTGGATCAGAAGAGGAGCAGCTGGGACTAGAACCGGCACCCATAAGGGGTGCTGGCGCTTCAGGCCACGGCGTTAACCTGCTGTGCCACAGCACCGGCCCGTCATCCATTTTTGTAACTGAGAAGAGCTACCTATTCTCCTGTACCTTCTTTTCTGGCTTTGGAACTAAAAAAAAAATCACTACTTTTTCATGACCAGTATTTTATGATTCTCTTTGTTTTCTGATTTTTTCTAACATCGGTTTTACGGTAATTAGCTGAAGTTTTTGGTCAACACTCATTATAACACAATATGCAAAATGGAATTCAGTAAATGTCAATGTTGTGAGGTTATCATGGAGCAAAAATTAGAACTCATTCTCAACAATGTTAAAAATTGTCATGGGAACAATACAACATGGTTTATCCCAGAGTGTAAGCTTTCTTATTAAAAAAACTTTTTTTTTAAATCTACTCAGGAAAGAGAATGCCTGTGCTCCCATCTGTTGATTCACTCCCCAAATGCTGCCATCAGCTGGGAGCTAGCAGCTCAATTTAGATCTCTCAAACAGGTAGGCAGCATCCTAACTACTCACGCCATTATCATTGCCTCCCAGTGTGTGCATTAGTAGGCAGGTGGAATCAGGAGGCAAGGCCAGGTATCAAAGACAAGTATTCTGATATGGGATGCAGGAATCTTCACCAGCATCTTAATCACCAGGCTAAATGCCCACCCTTGCCTATTTAATATATTGTACATTAAATAAAATTTTATTCTTTTAGAGTCATGCTTAATAAAATGCTACTTAAACCAAAACATATAATTCTGCATCATTAACTTAGTAAAAATTGGAAACTCTCAGTTTAAGTTTTGTGTCAGGCACTGTGCCATGTAGTTTACATGAATTATCTAGTTCAGTGTTCACAACTCTATGATTGCTTCTCCATTTCTGCTAGAAAGTATGAGCCATCAAAGTTTCTATATCTAGATTTCCTCTGAAAATGTAGTCATTTGGAATATATTTTCTAAAATATGAGCATAAATAATTTTAGACATTATTTTATATGCTGCCAAACACCACCAAAACTACCATTTTACAATGCCATTTGCAATGACTGAGATTACCTGTTTCTTTATAAGCCAACCAACTAAAACTTCTTGACAGTGTATACACTTAGCAGCAAAGCTGAGTATTTTGTGAGGTACTAATATGAAGAGTTCCCAGATATTGCTCCCTTTATATTGTTTTTCTACTATTCAGAAATCTTTGTATGTCTATATTGTTAAACTCATATGTCAATATACAATCCTCAATGAAAACTTCAATTGCTTGAATAAACATCTGTTCTCCATCTACAGTAGCTTTCAATGCAGTTTTAGATTTTTCTAGTTTACATATTTTACATCTATTTCTTATTTACTTATTTCTGTGTTCTTAAAATTTTTTTAATATTTATTTGTTTGAAAGTTAGAGTTAAAGAGAGAGAGAAGGAGAAGCAGAGAGAGAGAGAGAGAGAGAGAGAGAGGTCTTCTATCTGCTGGTTCACTCCCCAATTGGCCACAACGGCCAGAGCTGTGCAGATCTGAAGCCAGGAGCCAGGAGCTTCTTCCAGGCCTCTCATGCAGGTGCAGGGGCCCAAAGACTTGGGCCATCTTCTACTGCTTCCCTGGCCATAGCAGAGAGCTGAACTGGAAGTGGAGCAGCTGGGGCTGGGACTCGAACCGGCGCTCATATTGGATGCTGGCACTGCAGGCAGCAGCCTAACCCAGTGCACCACAGTGCTGACCCCTTTGGTGCTATTTTCTATATAAGCTTAAAAAAATTAACTCTGAGACACTTACTTAATTTTTTAAATGAAACAGTATGAGTGAACTGTATGTGGCAATATTTCTATCTCAGGAAAACAGCACTAGTGAGTGAGTGTGAAAAATGAATTTTCATATTCATTCAATTAAGTTCATACGTAGATTTTGAAGAATACACTTCTTTACTGCAGGGGAGCCCTCCCACTCACAGAAGTACAATATATATATATTTTTTGACAGGCAGAGTCAGACAGTGAGAGAGAGAGACAGAGAAAAATGTCTTCCTTCCGTTGGTTCACTCCCCAAATGGCCGCCATGGCTGGCGCTGTGCCGATCCGAAGCCAGGAGCCAAATGCTTCTTCCTGGTCTCCCACGCAGGTGCAGGGGCCCAAACACTTGAGCCATCCTCCACTGCCTTCCCGAGCCACAGCAACGAGCTGGACTGGAAGAGGAGCAACTGGAACAGAATCCGGCGCCCCAACTGGGACTGGAACCCGGGGTGCCGGTGCCGCAGGCGGAAGATTAGCCAAGTGAGCTGCGGCGCTGGCCAAGAAGCACAATGTTGCAATTTAAAAAATCCCAAGATCTCTACCTTAAAAAAAAAAAGATCTCTCTACAACGAATGAGATTTTTTTATTCTGATAAGAATTCAATTATCAAAGAAACTTTAAAGAAGCTTAATGACATAACTGCCATTAACAATTAATGGACTATCATCAATATGGAGACACATCAAACATTTTACAACCATCTGTGAGCTGCTGTGATCTAGAGAGCCAGAACAATTTACCAGTTAGTTAACTTAGATCCTGATTGATCATTTAAAATTTCATTCACAGAAATGTCAGACTCTGAAATATGCTTAAATGTTTATAGAGTTTAAATTTCACAGAAATTATTACATAAAATTTTATTACATAAAATTTCCAAGATTAGTCTAAAGCTCTTATATTTGTTTCTTCAACAGTTAAGCACTACTAAGCACTGGACTAGATGCTGATTCCAAAATACGGAGAAAACCAGGTTTACACTCCTGAAACTGGAGAAATACACACCAAATATCTGTTTTTTAAGTGATATAAACCCTAAAAGAAACGTGTAAAGTGTTATGGCAAAACAGTAAAAGGAACCAGAGTACTGCAATTTGAAGGATAAGAATTCAACAGAAAAACCAGAGAAGGGCATTCCAGACAAAACCAAAGTCAAGGAGGTACGTGTGTGCATGACATGGGGAAAAGCAGTCCAGTACAAGAGGTAAGAAATGGAATTCATTCTCTCTGGTTCCCCTCGGTAACGCTACCACCTTCTGCTGCTCTAAACTAAAAATCATGGGATCATTTAACTCTCCCTGCTCCCAGACACTAACCATTCATCAGTCACTGAAACATCACTCCAGCTGTCATCTCCTGGTGTCTGTGCTTATGCTGCTTTACTAGTACCCCAAATGCCAGAAGAAAAATAGAGTTATAAGCCCTAACTGTGATGATCTCTGAGCTATTTATTACTGAAAAGAATAAAGCAGCAGAGGGTAGGAAAAAGAGGAAACAAAGTGTGGATTCTGCCTTCCAGAAATGTGGTGATGAGAAAATGAGAAGTTAAGGTCCAGAGACCAGGGAGATTGGATGGCACAGGACAGCTAAGCATCGTGTATGTACATCCTGAGGGGAAAAGTCAATACAAGAAAAAAGGCGGAAGATGTAATGAAGGAACAATTAATTTTAGGTTTGACAGCCATCAAAAAAGTTTCCTTTGAGGGCCGGCGCCGCGGCTCACTAGGGTAATCCTCCGCCTAGCGGCGCCAGCACACAGGGTTCTAGTCCCGGTCGGGGCGCTGGATTCTGTCCCGGTTGCCCCTCTTCCAGGCCAGCTCTCTGCTGTGGCCAGGGAGTGCAGTGGAGGATGGCCCAAGTGCTTGGGCCCTGCACCCCATGGGAGACCAGGAAAAGCACCTGGCTCCTGGCTCCTGCCATCGGATCAGCGCGGTGCGCCGGCCGCGGCGGCCATGGGAGGGTGAACCAACGGCAAAAGGAAGACCTTTCTCTCTGTCTCTCTCTCTCACTGTCCACTCTGCCTGTCAAAAAACGAAAAACCAAGGTTTCCTTTGATATACATAAATTTTGCATTTATGGGATACTGCTTTCCTTTTTATCCACTTGGAAATATTATCCACTAATCTTCCTTTAAATGTAATACTTAACAGGAAACAGAGAAGTCTAGCGAGATTAGGAGGTAGCACACAGTATATTTCATTTACCAGAAAATGAATGAACTTTACCTCACGTATTTCATGGCCAGCTCCTCGGTATGACTGCAAGTCTTCCAAGATGCCTTCTGCATCTTTTAAGACTACATTCACCTGATTATAAATTTCCTTCTCAGACTCTGTAGGCTGGGCATCTAAATAGCAGGAAAGTACAAGGAAATTTACAGTGACATAATTTTTTAAAACAAGATACACAACTCAAGGCAATTGACAATGCATTTTTCCAAAGATGAGTTATAATCTGCTCATTGTTAACTTTGCACTTCTTAGAAAAGACTGACAATTTTTCCATAGTTCTAATATTTGAGTAACTAGCCTCTAGTTTATAAAAATCACAATGAAGCAAGGGAACACCCAATATTACTAATTAGTTTGTTATAAATTATTACTTGGTAAAACAGCAATCTGAGAATTACAGTCAAAATTTAAACTGTGAGAATCATAATAATCTCTTTTTCTACTGCACTCATCACTACCACTAATAACTACAAATGCATCAACAAAGATCTATTTTAATGTAACAGGAATGAAAGTCTACCAAAATAGCTTCTTGTTCATCTACAGTCTAATACTGAAAGTACTTTCCTATGAAGTTCATTTTGCTTTTAATTATGTGGGTTTTGATATAAAAAAGTAAAACTTATGAAAAAGAATTGAGTTTTTAGATGCTCTCTTCTCTACGGATCACTGTAAATCCTGTCTCGATGGACAGGATAACCTAAGTAAGGAAGGGACAACACATTCCCCTAAGACTACACCCAAGGCAGCATCACTGAACTTCTCTGCTGATTCTTGTGAAGAGGAGTTCAAATTTAAAAATGGCTCCAGGATTACTAGATACTTTAAGCTACACTGATAAATACAATTACTGAAAATGCTGAAATATCAAAGCGACAATCAAGCTCCTATACCCTCATGATTGAGCGAGAGCCTTTTAAGGCGTCATCGGACACCAGCCTGTGGGCATCTTCACCACCTGCAGCGTGAGCCACTAGACATACTAACGACGACTAAATCTGGATCCTCACTGCTAGGCTTGAGGTAACAAAATCCCACTCTTAAGAACTTGGTCATTTGTTTTTCTAAGGAGATATATATATAAAATTCATTTAATTATTTTGCTTGCTTTAGAAAAAAGGGGAATCCACAGGGAGAGTTTCCATAAACTTTTGCAAGCCGACCATGTTCAACAGCCCAGGTAAGAGATAAGGAACTAAAATGATGAACACGATGATAACCACAATGTTTTATAGAAAAATTATGCTGGCAGAATTCCTCCAAACTAAAATTTTCTCTTAGAGAGAAAGGAGGCTGTGCAACTTTGTTAAGATGAATTAGGAACATTTCTAATAAATCATTTTGTCCATCAATCATGTAAAACCAGTCCCTAGACTTTTCTGCATCCACCTTACTACCCAACAAATATATATAATGATCTATTTATTTGTTTACTTAAAAACTTTAAAAGAAACAGTCCACAGATGAAGCTAACAATAATTATGAATAAAAATTTTAACTTTATTTTGTCCTCTGGCAAATCATAGCTTAATTTCATCTATTAAACCTTCCAACTAAGCAAAAACACAGAGCATATATTATTTTTTTAAAAATAATTACGGTACCAGTTTTAAGATTCAACACATATAAAACTGTACTACCATAGCAATAATAAAGTTATGTTCATGTGCAAAGCCAACTTAAACATTTTGTGTTCATGTATCTGGTTCCCTTATTTTTCAAATTTTCTTCTCAAAAATCATGTGGTTTTTTAAATTGGAAATACTATGAGAAAATAATTACACAAGAGGAGCCAATTGAAAAATTAAAAGACCCTGTGTCCAAAGCTACTAAGGTATTAACAGAGCAAATACTGATATCATAGCTAAATGATAAAATTTTTTAAAAATCAGAATTTGTCATTTTAGCAGTAACATTTTTTTCACACTTAGCCAGGCCATATTTCTCAAATAGACACACACTTTTAAAAAACACACTTCATAACTTTTATACTTACACGAGATGCAGTAGAGAAAAATACTTTTTACATGCAAAAACGAGCTTTATACTTTTTCATATGGAATTGTGGAACTACAGACAGAACATCAATTGGAGACACATACTGTAGTTTGAACTCATGAAGTGGGAATTCATGACATAGCATACTCTTAACTATTTCACAGCAAAGGAACTTGTGAAGTCTGAAAATACTTCTAAACTATGCGTGTTTTTGGTGTGGTGACTAGCTGTTAACAGAAAAATGTGACATTGAGACTTAAGTACAAACAAAACATTATCAAGGAGACTTAAATAGACCTTGTAAGTGGTTAATAACTAATATAGGTGTAATAAGTACCAAGAAATTTAAAAACAAAGGAGAAGATTGCAGTTTCCCCGAGGGTGGGAAAACACCCAGCACCACACTATTCAACATTTTTTAGACTGTCACAGGAAAGTCACATTTATAATTTTGAAAGCTGCCGAAGACTGCTGTAGAAATGAAGACAAACAGAAAATAGCAGACAGGTAAGCACTACTTTACTGAAAGCAAGTCATGCAAAAGGGCAAAATACTAGAGAGGAAAAAAAGATCATATAAAAGGAAGCTTTTTTTTCTTCAGAAAATGGTATCATATAATATAACCAAGACTTGTCACTTTGATGTTTCATAGCAAAGAATGGTTCTACTATTTCAAGAAAAATGAACCACTTAGCCAGCTAACAAAAAGATATTCACTTGATTATAAAATAATTTATCTGCTACTGAGAACAGACATACTGATTACTCATTAAGTTTAGTTCTAAAAGCTGTTCCAGGGAAGTTAAGGCATGTTTTCACTACATTTATTGTTTAAGGTAAAATTAAATATTTTAATAATTTCACAACAGTTTCCTTTAAGAGAAGAGGGTAAAAGAATCACTAAAAATAATTGCTAAAATTGAAGATGTTATACAAAAGGAAAGAAAGATTAGCTATAAAAGGAAAAAACAAAAAGAAGTCAACATAAAAAATGAGGCAAGAAGTCTTTCCATTTTAATCTTAAATTCATTTTTCAATAGATATTTAGAATCCATGAAGGAAGGGACCACAAAGCACAGTCCACATCCACTACAGCAGAAAATCTGCACATAGTAGATTCTCCATAAGGAACAGTTTCTGAATAAATGAGAAGGTACAGAGATATAAACTAGCCTCCAGCATGAATTCAAGGAGGATATTACACATTTTACCTCTGAACAAATAAAATCCTATACCACTTTAGAAAAACAGAATGTAAGAAAAATGTCACCAGAATAAAGATTTCAAAGTATAAGGCAAAAGCAAGTGAAAACATGTTGAGATAAAATGGAAAAATAAAGTTAGACTAAAGAGAAAGATCCAGTATTTTTAAATGATGGGGGGAAAACAGGTAACACAAAAGACACAAGAAAAAAGAAGAAATGTATGACTCAATGGAAAGGCACTTTATCAAAGAATCAGAGGAAGGAGAACCTATCTCTCATTAATGACAGCCTCTATTTACTCTATTTTGATCTGCCTGGAGACAAATAAACCTAGTTGAACTGACAAATACTGAACTCCTATCATTTACAAAGCAGCATGCTAAGGTGGGGAAGGGGTACAAAAATAAATAAAAGCTCCTCTTCTTCCAAGAGCCAGAATTTAGTAGACACAGTATTACTTAAGCTAAAGATCTGTGATAAGAATGAGCTATAAACTAACAGTGTTGTTAAAGGAGTGGGCAATTCAGGAACTAGAAGAGGCTATTTTGCACCCCCACTCTATTTTTTTTAATATGTTGTCATTTGTGGAATAATTCTGGGTCATTATTTTAAAAATCAAAATAAAATCCTGAAATATCAGTATAACTTGTTTTAAGTAAGAAAATCTCTACCTAGAGTAAAAAGTAGTTTCACTAAACACAGAATATCACATATGCCTTAAGGCCTCTGTTACATGTTGCTCATTTTTTTATAGACTCCTTCACTAAGTTAGCCTCAAAATAGTCTAACAGCAAAACTCAATTCCAACACCACCATCAGAGAATCTTTCATAATGAGCCTAATCTGTTCATTGTTAGGTACATTTAATGCTTTCCGATGTGTAACTTGAATGTAAATTGCATGATAAATTATGAGTTTGCATTTCTATATATCCTACTAGATTGAAAATTTCCCAAAGGTGGGGGATGTATCTTATTTATCTTTGCATCCCCAGCACCTACTGGCTGGTATACAGGAGGCAAGCCATAAATGTATGTTGAACTGCAGTGAAAAAAAGTGTGTGTGTCAGGTTAAGTTAGAATAATGGTCTACTTTAGAGACAAATCTTCATTTTGTAAATGACAGCATTCCAATCAATCATGTTTCAAGGGCACTAGGATACTTAACTTGTATACAATTGGATGCAATAAGCCAGGTATCTCAGCATGGAATTATTTATGTAGTTGCCCAACTATGAAGACATATTAAGCTAGACTTTATCAATTGGAATGATGGCAAGAGGAAAACTAAGTTACTCTAGTGACCTAAATATTACTGTGCAACTAAAAGTAAATTATATTTAATAAAAAGAATATGGTTTATTTTCATAGTAATTAGGAATTAGTAAATACGCTGTGTTGGCAATTTTGAGTCTTGTATAAAACAGTGGAATAGAGTTCTCATCTGATGGACCAAGGTCACTATGATGGCCTAATGATAAGGTAAGTTTTACAAATGTATATTTCCAAAATGAAGAAAAATGTGCAAATGCACTGAATGAGAAAAATTAAGAAAATGTCAAAAAATTCAAAGAAACTATGGCATGTCCATCATGCTGGACAAATGCAGCTCATAATGGAATGGCTGGCTCCAGGGATTAGAAGTCCTGCTAATACAGACCCTGGGAGGCAGCAGGTGATGGCTCAAGTAATTGGTTCCCTGCTACCCATGTGGGAGACCTGGATTGAGCGTGGGAATCTAGTTTTCAGTTCTCAGCTGTTTGGGGAATGAAGCAGCAGATAGCTCTCCTGTTCTCTTTTCTCTCTGCATCTTGTAAATAAAGAATAAGTAAATACAAATTTTAATAAAAAAAACTGTAAGGAAGTAACAACAAACTATGACCTGCTATACAGTATATCATCACTAAACTTCACTTACAGTATATTATTAAGTGTCAAACTAAAAGTTCTGTATTGGCAGATAGGCAATAAGTCACTATTTAAAATTTTTATCTGCCTTTAAGAAGCTAACACATTATGTATGGTTCTACATTATTGGTTGTTACTATTGCTGTAATTTTAACCTTTTTCCTACTGCTAGAAGAGTAATTTAAATATTAAAGGTAATGATCCAAACTCCTACAGACTGGAAAGCTAAGACCAAGTAATCTTTTGAATGCTACATTTAAATTCATGCTTCCCACTTGACCACAACATAATACAAGGTTTATAAAAAGATCAAGTGCCAAGTCTTGAACAAGATCTTGACTGTATCAAAGCCAAGATTCTGTAAATGTAAGGAATCTGAGACAGAGGAAAGAGGAGACAGAATAGCAGAAAAATATAAGACCAAGTTTGAAACAGATGCAAAAAAACTAAAATACAGCTCTAATGTAAGTTGCCTCATCTGAAAGAATAATCTTCAAGTCAGCAATTTGCTCAACATCCCCAAGCTGATTAAAATTCATGCTAAACATGCACTCAAAACAGCACTGTTAAATTGTTGAGAAGGGTCAAGAAAACCAAAAACCAACTAACATCTATTTCCCTCTAAAATCCTCAACAATATTAATACTGGTCCTGATATTGGCATTACTACTCTTTACTAGCCTGAACACAGCACCCAAACCGCAACAGATCATTTAGGGAAATGTTATAAAAGTAGAAAAATATCAGAGACCACAAATTATTAACCAAATTGAAGTTGGAAGAAAAGATAGCTTGAGGGGAAGGGGGTTAAGTGATTTGTTTAGCTTTTTTTAAAAATAGAAAAAGTATTACATTTTAAGAATTTAAAGATATTTTTAAATATTTTAAACCTCAGATAAAAATGTAGGGAATACACAATTTAAAATTAAAGACTATCTCTTCACCCTTTCCTAACAATTTTCTAATGATCAGTTAAAATAGCAACATTCAAACTAAAACACCAATTTCATATCATTTTTCTCAATTGGACAACGAGACAAGCTAAAGCAATATCAACAGCCAAAAAAGCGAAAGCTCTGCGACATGCACCGAATCAATGACACTTACCTGCCACTCTTAGACCATATTATAATAGGTCATGCAACATAAAACAAACAGAAGGCAAATTACTCAAAGGTCTGTGAACCCATTATTTTTCTTTTCATTTAAATTAAAAAAATGAATTCCTGAAATAAATATATAAAATTAATTTTCAACTTTAAATTATCTGCAAAGATTAAATAATTTAGGTTCACACTTACCTTTTAATATTATGCCCAAATTACTGAGCTCTGAATGGCCTTCATGAACAGATTTATATTTAAAATACTTCAATAGGCACATACAGCAATAGAAACCTTGGTCAATTTTTCTTGACTCCAATAAAAAATTTTCCCAAATACTGCTTCTATTAATAAATCTTGAGGTATTATTTTTCCTTTCCACCAAAATATTTTTTATAAAAATGTTTTCATTACAGAGTAGATCTTATTATAAAATCATCTCCAAGTAAGAGATATGAAATCTCTTACAAAAATTCAAATAGACATTTTGTCATCACAATTTAATCTATAAAATATGACTTCGAGTTCTAGAAGGCGCCAGAAATTTTACTCAAACAATTCATAGCTCAGTCATGCAAAGCAGTTAAAAAGAATGGCGAAGAGAAAACATTCATTTAGTGCAAGACAAACGCAGTCTACTGCAGGCAAAGAGAAATAGATATAAAATCATCTTCTCACTTTCAAAATCAAGGAAAAAATTTGGCCCCTGCTCAAGGTCTGTGCATGTCAAAACTTTAAGAAGATTCCCCATGTTAAGGTACCTGTCAAGACAAGAATGAGAAAAGAGAAAATATCCCTTTATAAAAAAGAACATCTGAAATTTACTTAAAAAAAAAAAAAAAAGTAACGGAAAATGTTCATTAGGCCATGAATTCATCCTTCAGGTTACCCAGACTGTGCTCTGGCAGACAGCAAACCGGGTTCTCAAGGTGTTGATATGTAGGACCTAGAGGTGAAATGTGGTTTTCTTGTACACAATGGCATAGCTGTTGCTCTAATTCATCTCAAATTTTTCCCAAGACAAGTTTCATTAATGGCCTTATAATGAAAAATTCTTAAGTATTTCAATAGTGCTAGCTTTCTGAAAAAGAAATTTCTGATCAAGTTATTCGTGTATAATCTTGTTAGGATAGCATCGAAACAATAATTTATTTCAAAGCCAACTATTAAAAGAGGTTTGGCCACACCTCACCTTCATATCTCATCTCAAAATAGCAGAATATAAAATGTACTTCCTGTATGCCATTAAATACAGCATGTATTTCTAACCAAATTTGGAATATTAATTTGTAGAGGTTACTTAAAGTATTGCTTCTCAATATGGATATGCAGCACAATTCTGATTGTTAATACCATTATACAGGATTCAGAAAACAGACTGTTTGACATAGTCACTAAAGCATACTATTAGAATATTCATCATAAGGCTACTTGCTTCATGGACTAATGAAAGGACAGCACTGGCTACAGACTCAACATGATTTTAGCAAATGAAAAACTAAAGAATTATACATATGATGGTGATGTTTGCCTACGATTAAGAAAAAAAAATCATGCAACTTTTGTTTGATCCCGAAGTTTAATTAACAAATATTCTGGCTGGCCTTCACTGTGGTGTGAGTATCATTAATCTTTCACCTTTACCATTATGCACCAGCTGTGAAGGGCTAAAGAGACTTACTTTCAAAGTCCAAGAAAAAATGTGCTGCATTGTGGTCTATGTCCCTGGTTAGCACCTTAATGAGATTACCCATGCCAGCAAACCTAAAAATAAAAATGGCAACATCATTTAGTTCCAGTAAAAAATTCTAAGCAGAGGCCTGGGATTTGGCAAAGGCTGGCTTGCTCATAATTACCAACAGGTGCAGATCTATATGCTCTTGGCATTGAAAATTTGGAACAAAGCACACTTGGCTCTGAGTTTAAAGCTCCTGTCCCTCTTTTCCACATATCAAAAAAGTCGTACATAAAACAATATGGGAAAATAAATTAGATTTTTACATAGAACTTGTAATATTTGCATTTGACTAATATCTGAAAGTGCTGGTTCTTTAAAATTTGAGGCATATATTCTGAACAGAAATTAACATCAATAGTAGATTTATCAATGTAGCAAATATTGAGACCATTATTTTTAAGTAATAATGATATTTTTCTTCTTGCAGAATCAAATCCTATTGGGAACACAAAAAAGATAGTATTCAAACCATATTTAATCATTTAAGACTGAAGGAAATTATTAGCTAATGAGTCATTTTTTAAAATTACCATATAAACCCAGTATTTCTTACAACTTCTCTCTCCTAAGATTAATCAAACTTCTACTATTTAACACTTAGATTGAATATTCCACTATATACAATGGAACACAACAAATAAACATATAAAGAGCCAGTTATTATCACAACTTAGTAAGTCTGCAGAGAGAATCAAGTAAAAATAAGGCCCTGGTATAAATCTGCTCAAGAGATTGCCATAACTCAGCGAGTATAAAGGCGGGAAGCACACATTCAGGAAACCAGGTACAAACCTAGAAGCTGGGGTAAGAACAGGGAAGGCAAACTATGGTTCAAAGCTACCCACTCCTGCCCTTCCCCAGCTACAATACTTGTCCAAAGACTAAGCTGCTGGCAAATGTAAATTAAACATAAAAGTAACAATCTTTTCATGAAGGAAGACATCACCCCCATTACAAGCATATGAGAAAAAGGCTTAGCACATCCAGTCACCTGCCCTGATCCCCTTCCTCCATCTACTCCCAACAGTAGCTTATGTTCTTAACTGTACACTTCCCAGAGAGTAAATACATATACATGTGTAACAATTACTGGCTGTAGAGGTCAACCTCTGAAGGAATGAAACATACAGTTCTTATGAAGTGTTAAAAAGCATCTACTGTATTCCCAACTCTGATAAATATTGAATGATCTGTCTCTTTTTAAACGATACTCCCCCAATAGGAGAAGTAGTGATCCATCTTCCTTTTATATTAATATCTCTATCAAAATCCACAGAATTTCAATGGTCTTATATGTTTTACCTGAATGGATTAGGTGAGATAATTAGATAAAATAGCTAACAGAGAAATATTACTGAATGGCTAATATTTTACCTTAATTATCTTACACAATGTAAAAAGTCTGATACTAAGCTTTTATATTTTAGGAGGAGATAAGCATTTTTACTAAATCATCACATCCGAATGACCTCAATTTTTTACTGAAATTTATTCAATACGTTTATGAAGAAACCATCTAGACACAGACTATTTCTCAGCTTTAAATTTTAAAAGCTTTCAGACATATATGGAATGTCTGTTTACAGACATACAAATTCTTTCACTGACAAGAACTGTGACCAAATACACCAAGAATTACCTGGTGGCATCAAAACTGCAACTATAGATGGAAAACATGTCAGGAGAACTGTAGTTGTTTCTGACAGGAAAAGGCAGCACAATACTTGGTGTTAATCTATGCAATCAAATCAGAATTCTAGCTCTAGTTCGCTAGCTTTTGGCCTTAAAGGGGGGAGGTATAGTTAACCTTTCTGGTAATCACTTTGTGACTGATACAACAAAGATAATTATTCTATCTTAAAAAGTTGGCCGGCGCCGCGGCTCACTAGGCTAATCCTCCGCCTTGCGGCGCCGGCACACCGGGTTCTAGTCCCGGTCGGGGCGCCGGATTCTGTCCCGGTTGCCCCTCTTCCAGGCCAGCCCTCTGCTGTGGCCAGGGAGTGCAGTGGAGGATGGCCCAGGTGCTTGGGCCCTGCACCCCATGGGAGACCAGGAAAAGCACCTGGCTCCTGGCTCCTGCCATCGGATCAGCGCGGTGCGCTGGTCGCAGCGCGCCGGCCGCGGCGGCCATTGGAGGGTGAACCAACGGCAAAGGAAGACCTTTCTCTCTGTCTCTCTCTCTCTCACTGTCCACTCTGCCTGTCAAAAAAAAAAAAAAAGAAAGAAAAAAAGAAAAAAAAGTTATTATGAGGGTTCAATGAAATTTAAGAACTGACTCAGCACAGTAGCACACCGAAAACATTTAATAAATGTTGGATTTTATATTATAATCCAAAAACTACAAAATAACTTTTTAAAATATGGCTCTATTTCATTTAACACAAACCAGTCTTCACTGTCAATGAATTTCAACATTACAAATCAGAATAAAGCCCCTCTGAGACATGGATATTCCTAAAATGTTGTGCTAAATGAACAGCAGAGCACCCAAAGGTACAGAAGAAGGGAGAAAGAAGGGAGACATCAGGGCTCCTTCCCTTTTACCTGTGTGCACACACTCCACCCTCAGGGAAAAGGCTTGAACAGTCAAGTGCACCTGCCCAACTTTCTTACAGCCTCTTCTGCATGCTGCTTCCATTTCTCAGCTCCCCTTGCCAGGCACCCCAGACTAATGGGGTTCTACACTCCTCCCCCAGTGCCTGATACTTGGACGTGAACTTTTCACCTTCCAAAGTTCTCAAAGATTCACAATTTCTTGTCTTCATCCAGTATGTAGACAATTATTCGAAAATGGCTCAGATCAGCACAGAGTTTCTCAACCTGGGCTGGATAATTCTTCTGTTGCTAATCTGTCTCACACGGCAGGATACGCAGTGGCATCTGAGGCCTGAACCCACTGGATACTATTAGAAACTCCCATACAAGCTATGACAACCAAAACTGTCCTTTATCAATGTCCCTGGGGGGCACTACAGGAAACATGCTATACAGGCAGCCCACATCACACATCACTGAACAAAAGCTCACGCAGTTTCCCAAAGAGTTGAAACTAGTTCATTTTAACAGTGCTCCTAATTTTTCTAATAAACAAAAAACACCATACCCCTATCTTGCCATATTTTGAGCCAAAAACAAAACCCCCACTCCCTCAAGTAACTAATTTCAACTAACATGATACAGTGGATAGTTTCAAGTCTGCTAGATACCAGAATGCCTGGGTTCAAAACCCACCTCTGCTACTTCCAAGCTTTTTGACTTTAGCCAAGCTTCCTAACTTTCCTATACCTCCGTATTCTCATTTGTAAAACAAGCATTAAGAATAATATCCACAGGGCCGGCATTGTGGAGTAGCAGGTTAAGCCTCTGCCTGTGACACATAGTATCACCATATAGGTGCTGGTTCGAGACTGTGATACTCCACCTCTGAAATAGCTCCCTGCTAATGTGCCTGGAAAAGATGGTCTGAGTGTGTGGGTCCCCGCACCCATATGGAAGACTGGAAATTGCTTCTGGCTCCTGGTTTCTGATCCAGCCCCAGCTGTTGCAGCCATCTGGGAAGTGAACCAGTGGATGAAGATTTTCTCTTCTCCTCCTTTAACTCTGCCTTTCAAGTAAATAAAAAATAATAAATCTTTAAAAAAATAGAATAATATCCACTGTGAAAGGTTCCTAAGATCATTAAAGGGGTTAATACAAGTGCATTTAAGACCATGCCTGCCAGTTTATTTGCTGCTATTACTGGTGCAGCTGTCAGAGCAACCGGACTGGACACAGGATGTGTTCCCAGCAGCAGAACCTGTAGAATGCCAGGCTTGCGAGTGTGTGGCAGTCACATTTCCTGCCACAGAGGATGCCAGTCTGGCTCAAGAGAAACTAGCATGCAGTAGAGTCGCAGAAAGTACTCTGGAGTCTTAATTTCTGACTCCTTTTGTTCTCAAGTTCCAGCTGCAATTTCCCTCAGTTCAGTTGCTTCTCCGTCCCTCTGGTTTTAAGATACCTGAGTATCTCTTTACCTGTTTAGTT